ACATGTGCAATTGTTTGAGGAACCGCCGCAACTGATGAAACATACGCCAGCCAAACCGAATACCACGCCGCTATGCGATCGCTGCCATAAGCTCGTTCATCATCGCGAAGGGACTCCGATCTTCCACCCGAATGTAGACGCACTGCGAGAGACGATCGGGGAGTCGCCATACAAGTACAACCATATCTATCATGTCATTGACGCCGCCGACTTCCCCATGTCACTCCTGCCCCGCTTACACCAGCTCCTGGGCGATGTCAGCCTTCGCCGCAAGAACCGACGGTCCAGGGCTGGCCGATACTACCAGGACCGCCAGTTCGAAATGAGCTTCATCATCACTCGGGCGGACCTCCTGACACCGACGGAAAAGCAGGCCAATTCCCTGATGCCGTATCTGAGGGACACCCTCCGCGACGCTCTGGGTTCCTTCGGGAAGCACATTCGACTGGGCAATTTGAGGGTGGTCAGCGCGAAGCGAGGCTGGTGGACGAAAGAGCTGAAGCAGGAGATCTACAAGAGGGGTGGCGCTGGCTGGATGGTTGGCAAGGTCAACGTGGGGAAAAGTCAGCTATTCGAGGCTGTGTTCCCCAAAGGCACCACGGCCGACATTCCGGCGTCTCGCGACCCCATCGAGGTGTCCATGTTCGCGCGGGAAGAAGACAGCGAGAATGCGAGGTACATCGAGGATGAGGTTGTCGACGGTGAGGAGGAGAAGATTGACCCGGACTCCCTACTCCCGCCAACGCGACCTGAGGTCAACTATCCCGAGATGCCCACCGTGTCTTCTCTCCCCGGCACCACGGCATCACCTATCCGTATCCCCTTCGGCAACGGCAAGGGTGAGCTCATCGATTTGCCTGGACTCGCCCGAAGTGACCTCGAGCTGTTCGTACAGGAAGAACACAGGCAGTCCATGATCATGCAAAAGCGGATCAAGCCGACCCAGTACTCCATCAAACCCGGACAATCGCTGCTTCTCGGCGGGTTGATTCGTATCACGCCCAAGACGCCCAACCTGATCTTCCTGGGCTACAATTTCACTCCACTCGAGGAGCACCTTACGGCCACCGACAAGGCGATCGGCTTCCACGACCAGACGAGGACGGCACCGGGAGTCGTCAACATTGCCACCCCCGAGGCCGCCTCCCAGATGGCTCACGCTGGGACCTTTCAGCTCCGCCATGACGTGACGAAGCTCCGCGCCGGTCCCCTCACCCGCAAAGACGCCATCAATCTGGACATTGAAAGGCTTCCCTTCCGCGTTCTGTCCACGGATATTCTCGTCGAGGGCGTCGGCTGGGTCGAGCTGACGGCCCAGGTCCGCACCAAGCAACTATACGCCCGGCCCATCGCAGAGGAAGCGCCCCAGCCGGACCCGGAGGAGCTGGCAAAGGATCCATTTGCCGTTCTAGAACAGCTGGCCCGCGACGGGAAGAAGGGTGAGTCTGCGCCGCGCAAGGGACCGACCAGGGGACCGACCGAGCCGAACTGGCCCCTCGTGGATGTGTACAGCCCGTTGGGCAAGTTCGTAGGCTCCCGGGCACCGATGAACGGTTGGCTTTTGAACAAGCCACGCGTGTTGGATAAGCACAAGAAGGCACGCCCGCGGAAGAGCATGAAGGGGGCGAAGAAGCGGGAGAAGCTAGCCACAAGGGCGCCTGCGGGCGGTGCAGCTTCGACGGCAGAAACGTAGTGAGCTAGCTATTCCAAGCTTTAGCTTCCTTGCCTCCTTGTGTCTTCAATTTTGTCGACTACCGTGGGGAATAAGGGGCATCTTGTACAATATACTGTAACACCACATCTTCAACCTCATATGTAGATATACGCAATATTATAAAGGACAGGTGGAGCCCCATCATTTGGGTGTCTCTTGGAAAAAGATAATAAAAACAAACATCATAAAAGGCCAAGAGACAGGACCTCGCGGTAGGATTTGCCCCGTAACATTGTAGCGCTTTTTCCGTCGCGTCATGGCTTGGATAGATCGTCGAGAGATGAATCGAGAAGGGGTATCAACCAAAACATTCCGTGCACGCCTCATAGCCTCGTTTTCACCAGTCTAGCCCGTCTTCCTGATTCAGCTTCAGCACATCCCAGGTAGCAAGTAACGCAAATATTTCGGTTGGCGGAAGAAAGATGTTGTCCAGTCCGTTGGACAACATTTTCAAGGTACCCCCGGCGGTCCAACCGGGGTGGCAACCAGCTCGCGGAAGCGGAGGTAGAAGGTCTCCGGGTCGAGCCCTTCCTGCTGCAGCGCCTGGAGCTGCTCGAGCTGGGCTGCGCGCCTGGCAGCCTCCAGCTCGCGGCGGGCTTCCCAGCGCACGCTGACGAGGGCGGCCTTGCGCAGGTCCAATTCGGATTCTGCGGCGGCCCGCTGGGCGTCGGGCATGGCGCGGTACTCCGCCTTGAGTCGGTCGAGGTCGAGGGCGGTCGCGTTGGGGGTGTGAGGTCCGTTGACGGCAACGGCACCGCCGGGGCCGCCGGTAGGCCGTCCACCGGCGATTCCCGGGCCCGGTGCGGTGCTGTTCCCGCTGCCGGGAGGGAGGATCTCGTTGAGCAGGTCGCGAGCGCGAGCACGGGCGGCGGCGTCGTTAGGTGTCGCTACCCCTCTCTGTTGCTGTTGCTGGTGTTGTTGTTGTTGTTGTTGCTGTTGTTGTTGATGTTGGTGTTGATGTTGCTGCTGATGATGGGGATGCGGTTGATGCTCTTGTTGGTGGTGCTGTTGGTGGTGCTGTTGGTGTTGTGGGGCCAGTGGTGGGAGCGGCTGTTGTCCTTGTGGTTGTTGCTGCTGCTGCGGGTGTTGCTGAGGGGGTGGTTGGACCGGCGTCTGCTGCGCACCAGGGATGACGCGGTTGTTAAGCGGTCCACCTGCTGAAAGGACATTCGTGAGGGAAGTAGGATGATGAGGAACGTTGGAGTTGGGATCGGGGATGACGCCGTCGCGATGAGGGTCTAAGCCCCCAGGGGAGGGTGACGGCGTATCATCGTCGTCGGAGTGGGAGCCGGGATGGTGAAAACGGGGGCCGGAGCTCGTGGAACCGTGGGCGAGAGCCGTAGGGGTGGAGGTGGCAGTGGCAGTGGCAGTGCCGGTTTTCGATCGACGGAGGGTTGTCTTGATCGTGTTGAAGGGGATATCGGGGAGGATCTTGTGAATTTTCTTGGCACCGTAGCCGGTCGCACGAAGCTCGAAGATGCGGGCGCGGAGCGACGGGTCAAGCTGCCTCCCGCGAACCATCGTTCACTTGCTGCCTTATTATCTTTAGCAGATATGCCTCTTTCCCTCCTTTCCTCCTTTCGCTTTCTCCCCACGACCGTATACCCCTTCCTCTGTTTTCCCCGGCTGTGCTTTTGTCAGGCTCGCGTCCGAGTTATCGCGAACTCGGGCGCGGATCAGGGAGGGTCTACTCCGTAGTGTCGGTCGTTTCCTCCGTAGTGGGTACGATGTGGGTGAATTAGATGGATGGGTGTGGGTGTGGATGTGGGTGAGGTGGAGGGTGAGGGTGAGGGTGAGGTGGTCAAGCAGTGGGTTTTGTTGTGGGCGAGGTTCAAAATAAACAGCAAGAAAAGAGGGAAGGGGGATGTTTGTGACTTGGTTGGGGGGGGGGACACCGGGGGTTCCAAAACGGTTATAGTGGGCTGGGTCAAAGGCGTGGCAGTGGTTGGAGAGAAATGACACGAAAGAGAGGGAGGGACATTGGAGATGACAGGGTGTCAATTGGCGGGGCTATTTTCTTAAGGGTGTTCAGCACATGGATCCCTGGGTCGCATTTTACGCGCTTTCATTCTTGACCCCCTGAAGCTTCTGATTGACATTGCCCCATATTGATGACATAAGAAGGCATCCATTCACAAATTCACACAAGGATAGCCCGCTACCTTTTCTAGGGGATTCCAACTAACAAAGTTCCCGTCACATCGTACAAAGTCCATACCAACCCTTTGATCAGTAATTACCTACGGATACAAACCACTGTTATCGAACTAGACATCCTTTTAACCACTTCTTTTCGATTGATACAACCAAAGAATATAAGGAACAAGCTTCCGTGGCCACAGGCCAGCGACCTGTAGAAGCAGCATAGCACGCGGCGACAAGACTCTTTCCTGTCTGCACCCAAACCGCCATTTCCCTTTTGCAAAAACACTGCGCGAAGATAGATCCGAACAACAGACACTACAATGGCAGCACAATATCAACGCTCTCCGCTGCGGAGTGGAAGTCCAGCCGTAGCGCAAACACAAACCACAGCAACCACTCCAAGGACCATCGAGACGGAAGGTCAGAACCGATTGGGACCGCCGACCCTTCGACTTCGGGGGGCGCATACGCCATCACAACGAACAGTGCAGTGGGCCGAAGATGTGGTGGATAATGAGGGCCTCGGTCGGAAAAGATCCAAAGGTATGGTTTCTGCTCCCCTTCTTGCCTGTCTACAGAGCAGAGTCTCGGCTGGGCTTATTGCTTGTTTTTCCTCGGCGATCACTGATCTGACACGCTGCTGCCATTTCCCCCCTCTCTAGTCTGCTGCATTTATCACCCCCCCAAAGCAGTAGACGAATCGAGCGACGAATCATCTTCCGACTCGTCTTCGTCAGATGAACCCGACTCAGATTGCGAGGGTGGTCGACGGAGGATACGATCAGGCGACGGCGAGGGTAAAGGTCACCGTTGTAACGGCGGCGGGCACGGACACGATCATAAAGGAAGGGGACGAAAGGACTGTGATCATGGCAAGGAGGGAGAGGGAAAAGAAAAACGGAGACCAAGTCCGAACGCGTACGAAAGGTTACCGAAGCCTAAACCAAGGACTACCGGTAGTGAACGAAGCGGGACGACAAGGGCTTGAGTGCTCGGTGCTCATGGATTGCTTCTGGAATTCCATGATTTTCATGGTGCGGGCAGCGGAGGATTAGATTATGTTCATTACATTTATTCAGAGGGAATTCTTCACGCCACCCGTTCTCCCGTATATTCGCGAAGTGGAGGGGGGGCACCTTCTTCTAAGGTACTCTGCTGTCGACATACACGAGGGCTTCGAGGCATTGATGGGAACAAGGTTTAACTATGCGAGAGCTTTTCGTGTTTCTGATACTGATCAAGACTCAAAATGCCCCTCCCCCTTCCCAATTACCTCCAAATCTCACAGTGGAACAAGAAGAGTCGGATGGGAGAGTCTCGTATCGTCTGACTTTGGTGCTTCGTCGTACTGGTTATCTGACGTGTCAATCTGTACCTACTAATACCTTCGTAACTGTTACAGTGCAACGGATACGTGATATGTGATGCCGGTACCCCCGGGTTCAGAATACACCCCCTAAACATCAGCAACGGGACAGAAAGCCGTACCGATACCATCATCGTAGCTCCACCTTCAGTCCCCACAGCGGGGTAATTTGCGCCTTTGCGCCTTTGCGCCTTTGCGGATTGCTGCCCCCTCATGCTTTCCCCCCCGTCTACGCTGATGACAGAAAAGGATCATCTCGCTCGAATCTTTCCTCTTGAGTGGATAGTAACCATTGACAATACCTCTTCTTCGGATGAAGGACCCCCCTGAATCAAATCACGCCCACAATAACAACACAGACATGTCCCATTCCCACGACGGTGCTACCAGCCACTCTCACGAGGGAGTCTCTGCTGCCGACCATGGTCACAGCCATGAGATCCTCGACGGACCTGGGAGCTATCTTCACAGAGAGATGCCCATCGTAGAAGGACGCGATTGGAAGGACAGGGCTTTCACCATTGGTATTGGCGGGTGAGGCCACATCAATCTTTTGCCAACCCACCCAAACTTTTTTTTTTCCTCTACCGGCTCCAGGAACTAACAGCACGTTATTATTACGCCGTCCTCAGTCCCGTCGGCTCCGGCAAAACCGCTTTGATGCTCGTGCTCTGCCTCGCCCTACGCGAAAAGTACTCCCTTGCCGCCGTCACCAACGACATCTTCACCCGCGAGGACGCCGAGTTCCTGACCCGCCACGCCGCCCTACCGGCCGAGCGCATCCGCGCCATCGAGACAGGCGGCTGCCCCCACGCCGCCGTCCGCGAGGACATCTCCGCCAACCTCGCCGCCCTCGAAGACCTCCACCGCGCCTTCGACACCGACCTCCTCCTCATCGAGTCGGGCGGCGACAACCTCGCGGCCAACTACTCCCGCGAGCTCGCCGACTTCATCATCTACGTCATCGACGTCAGCGGCGGCGACAAGATCCCCCGGAAGGGAGGGCCCGGTATCACCCAGAGTGATCTGCTCGTCGTCAACAAGACCGACCTCGCCGAGATTGTCGGTGCCGACCTCAATGTCATGGAACGAGACGCCCGCAAGATGCGCGAGGGCGGCCCTACCGTCTTCGCCCAGGTCAAGAAGTCCGTCGGCGTCGACCACATCGTTAACCTTATACTCAGTGCCTGGCGAGCCAGCGGGGCTGAGGAGGTCCGGAAGGCGGCCGGGGGGCCGCGGCCGACCGAAGGCCTGGACAAGCTCCAAACATCATCATAAAGAAGGAACCCAAAAAAGAAAAAAAAAAGAAAAAAAGGAAGAACGACACCAGTGTGGTCAGCGGATGCGAGCTATTGAATATCCTTTGTTCCTTTCCTGCGTTATCATAAAATCTTTTTCTAGACCCATGTAATATGTGTATGTAGTATCGCCACCAAGTGAGTGTTTAATCCATATCCGCCGAGTTCTTTTGCGTCCCTTAAATCCCAGTCGTTCCCAATTCTTCCGTCGTCATGTTCATCCGATCATCATATCGTCAGACGCCGCTTGGCCAGCCTGCGCATCAAGAAGTGGACCATCCAATGGACGAGCATTGCGCGGCCACACCCGCTTGTACAGACTCACTCCTATGGCATCCTGGGGGTTGATACGACCGTCGAACGTCGCCTTGAAATATCCGTGTGTGCCTAGCGATTCCTTGATGTATCCAGACCTGCCACGTTTGGTCCACAGCGGTAGGGCCTTGAACCACTCCACGTCTTCTCGGTTGAAGAACATGTATCGAACCGTCACAATCTTCTTGTGAATGTGGTAGGGGTGGCCCGTCAAGATGACCCGCTTGGCGATGACTCTCGAGGTCGACGGAGGAAGCGCCGTGCCGGTGGCGACCAAGGTCAGGCCGATATCCGGCTGCCCATCGGCCTCCTGGCCAGCATCCTCGGTGCCGGGGACAGTTCGCTCGAAAAACAAAACCGGAACGGCACCCCAAGTCACAGGTCCCATGAAGCTGACGACCGCCGACTGTCCCGGGTGAAGGTACCGGCAGAATTTGTGCACATCGTTGGGTGTATTGCCCGGCTGGGAGAAGATGGGGTTGATCGCGAAACGTCGGGGCCCGCACTGCACGACGAGCTCTTCCTTGGCCTTAATTGACCTTGGGAAGTCGGCGCTCAGGTTAATGATGTAGTTGACAACCGTCTTCTTCTGCTCGTGTCTCAGCAGTGACACGAGAGTCACTGGCCGGTCGGGGCTGTACGTCTTCTCGAAGCTGGCGGGGACTCCTCTCAGATACACATGGACCCGCGTTCCGGGGGCCACGCCGCCGACAAGGGCCTCCCGCGCGAAACGAGAACGCGAACCCTGGTAGTCGGAGATCTTCAGCAGCCTGCGCCAGTCCTCCGGCTCGTGCGCGCGGTCTTCGTCCTCCACCCACTCGCTCGTCCTCAAGCTCTTGAGACCCCTGTACCGTGCGAGCCTCTCCCTGGCGATGACGTTGGCGGGCAGCTCGATCTCATCGGGGAATTCCCTATCGTCTTGGACCTCGTCCGTCTTCCTCTTCTTTCTGTATGCTTCCAGTTGCTGTGCGTCCTCATCGTCATCCAGATCGACGAACATCTCCGACTGTGGATACTCCGACGGCGCACCTTCAGTCGGCTCCTGTTCATTCGGGGCATAGCCTTCCAGCCCATCTTCCGGTCGCGCTTCCTCGCGTTCGGGCTCGTCTTGCATCTCGAAATCCTCCATGTCGGAGCCTGAGTCGGACACATCGTCTCCCAGAAACCAGGCGGCCTGGTAACTAGATGTGCCCTTCGGAACCCTCTTGGGTTTCGCAGTGATATCTTCGCGATCGTCGTCAGAGAAGTAGTGGTGGTCGTCAAGAAGCACGCCCTTTTTCGACGAAGGAGCTACCGATTCTGTGCCATCTCCCATCTCGTCATCTCCATCCATGGCCGCGTCGGGGGCAAGATCGGCAAGATCATCTTGGTCTTCGGTGGGTGTTCCTAAGACCACCTCCGGCTGCTCTTCATCCACCGGCATCTCATCGCCCTTCTTCCTCTTCTTGGGCAGAGGCGCGGCCACAATCTTCTCGATCTGGTATGTCCCGAGATCTCCCAATTGAACTAGCCTATCGGCGTTGAGACCTTTGCCTCTCACAACCCCAGTGATCACGGTCGACTCAGGGGTAGGGAACTGGACTTCGTCGGCCAGCATCCAACTTCTCTCATCTCGCCACCGGACTCCCTTGGGCGTCGTGCTGCATAGCGAGCGCATCAAGTGGGAGCAATCCTGTCGGTTATCGAGTACGTATAGCTTGTCTTGATCCGGGTGGAAATGCGTGATGTAAGATTTGAGGGAATTTAGGACCTGTTGCTTCTGCTTCGCCTGCTCGAGCTTGTCCATGCCCTGCACGACCGTGACGAGGGTAGACAGGCCCTGGCTCTCAAGACTGCGGAGCATCAGCTCGCCGAGTGGATCGACCTCCTCGTCGGCACTGAGCATGACCACCACGAAATCGGCAACCCTCGTGCCATCCAGGACGGAGGTCAGATCACGCTTCAGAGGCACATACTGAAGCTTCTGCTTGAATCGGTCCACGGACACTCGGAACGGACGGTCTTCGATCTCGGCCTCGATGTCGACACTCTGGGTCAGTTGTTTGATGGCGAAACTGGGGTCGCTATCGGGGCACAGAGGAACAACTGCGACAATCCTCGGCGCACCATCGCGACCAGAAAATATTGCCGTCTCCTCGATGTGTTCTTTTCGCTTGGCCAGCTGACGTTGCTTCGCCTGGTTTCGACGGTCAAACTTGGACATGACGTGCTGGTGTGGAGTTCTGCGTTGGCCCTTCTCCTGGCCTGCAACTTTGCCTATTTCAATGCACCAGGTTAGTCTTTCGTGTATATTGAATATAAGGAGGCTCTCTTTTGGGAATATTTGAGTGTGATGCATAAAAAGGAAAGTCACAACACCATCCATACCTTTGGCAGCGTTTCTTAGTGCGCCCTTGGTGGCATGTTTCGATTTGAAGGGCTTGTTGGCAACCTTTGAGGTAGGGCGGTGGGAGTGTTGCACTACCGCAGGCGACATTTTTCCGTCGCCGCCAGCTTTGAATCTGAATGGTAAGGAAGCCACTTTGGACCGGACTTTCCTCTTCTTTTTATTTATATTTTGCCCTGTTGTCAAAAAGCAGAACCCTTGAAGTTGCGTCCCGTAGAGGAACCCTGTGGTGGATGGCGGGGTCCTAAAAAGCCGATCTTATCAGGGTATCGGTTTTTTTCTTTCTGTGGCTATCTTATCAATGAGACCCACTAAATCATTCAAGCATTCCGGGGTGCCAGCCAATGGAATACCCCGATAACAAGACAGGAACCGGGGACCATAGAAATTTTGAAAGGACGAGGACCAGAGTCGGAACTCATGTCGATGCCTCGGAAATTGGCAGTGGCAGCAGCAGCAGCAACAGCATCACACAATGGACACAACAGATATTGCTACGACAAAGTCGCCAACCAAACGACATTCAAATGGCGTAACCCTTGTCGAGAGACGCACCGACCTTGTCTCGAAATCCGAGCGCGAGAAGATTCGGCGGCGCAAGGAAGCCGAGCAACTATATGGTCGAGGAAAGAAGGTCAACTTGAAGACTGTCCGGGATAAGAAGCTGCGTACCAATCTCAAGAAACTCGAGGGAAAGTACGAGACAGCCGCCCTTCGAGCCAGAGATGCCGAGATTTTGCACGAGAACTCGGCGGGCTTCCTCGAGCCTGAGACGGAGCTCGAGCGGACGTACAAGGTCCGGCAGGACGACATCTCCAGCGATATTGCCATCTCAACTGCACAGAAGCGCTTTGAAATCAAGTTGGACCAGCTAGGACCCTATGTAGCCGAGTATACCCGCAATGGCAGGGACCTCTTGCTGGCCGGCCGGAAAGGCCATGTCGCAACAATGGACTGGAGAGAAGGCAAGCTAGGTTGCGAGTTGCAGCTGGGTGAGACCATCAGAGACGCGCTGTGGCTTCATAACAACCAGTTCTTTGCGCTGGCGCAGAAGGACAACGTATACATATACGACAAGGACGGCGTCGAGCTTCACTGCTTGACGAAACATAGGGAGGTGACACACATGGAATTCCTCCCATATCATTTTCTGCTTTGTACGGCGGTAAGTACATTTCTCATTAGACGGCACGCCAGCCCTTTTTTTTTCTTTTTCCTTTTTTTTTCCTTTTTTTTTCCCCTTGCATATTTTTACTGACTGAACTAGGCGACAAACGGCTGGTTAAAGTACCAAGACACGTCGACAGGCCAGATCGTCACCGAAGTGCCCACGAAACTCGGACCTCCGACAGCGATGACACAGAATCCCTACAACGCGATTCTCCACGTTGGTCACCAGAACGGCACCGTCACCCTATGGTCTCCCAACTCCCACGATGCTCTTGTGAAGCTATTGGCACACCGAGGCCCGGTCCGCTCCGCAGCGGTTGACCGGGAGGGCCGGTACATGGTCACCACAGGGCAGGACTGCAAGATGGCCGTGTGGGATATCCGGATGTTCAAAGAGGTGCATACTTATTTCACAAGGCAACCGGGGTCTTCGGTAGCCATCTCGGACAGGAACCTGACAGCTGTCGGGTGGGGGACGCAAACCACCATATGGAAGGACCTATTCACCAAACACAAACCAGTGCAGGAGAAGGTACAGAGCCCGTACATGGCGTGGGGCGGCGAGGGAAGGCGCATCGAAAGGGTACGATGGTGCCCTCTCGAGGACACTCTCGGTCTAGGCCACGACCAGGGCTTCTCTTCTATCATTGTTCCCGGCGCAGGCGAAGCCAACTTCGACGCTTTGGAAGTGAACCCCTTCGAGACGAACAAGCAGAGACAGGAGTCCGAAGTCAAGGGTCTGCTGAACAAACTGAAACCGGAGATGATTGCCTTGGACCCGAACTTCATTGGCAATCTAGATCTGAGGTCCGAGAAGCAACGTCAGGCCGAGAAGGACCTGGATGCCCCACCCGTAAGCGTCGAGGAAGAGATCAAGTACCGGGCGAGGGGCAAGAGCGGCGCGCTCAAGAAGTACTTGCGGAAGCAGCGCAAGAAGAACATTATCGACGAGAAGAGGATGAAAGTCGAGGACTTGTGGCAACAGCAACAGAAGCAGAGGGAGAAGAAGAGTCAGCACGTGGAAACCGAGTTGGGGCCAGCCCTGTCGAGATTCGCGAAGAAGGACTAATTCAGGCACCACCTCATATTGCCTTTGTGGGGGGGGGGGGGTTCAGCGAAAAACTCTTACAGTGTAGAGTTCTTGTTGAGCTGGCGTTCGGAGGCGAGATTCGGCAAATTAAAACAAATACCCATGCCCTTCACAGGTAGATCTTCCCCTGAAACTTGATGACCTATCGATGCCTATGCTGAGGATTGCATGAGGCGCTGTCCCCGTCCCCCAGTTCGTATAAGGTTATATCAAGTGTCGCTCGAAATATTGGCCTAGAAGAGACGGGCAGATTCTCCCATTGTATGGGACTCAGTTGTGAGTGTAATTTGTTATTTGCACAGCTCATACCCACCGGACTTCCAACTCCAGCCCCAGTCTGAAGGGAGACATGCTCAGTTTCTATTATTTGCCAGCATTGACGGCCTTCACATGGTTCGCCGCGTTCGTCGCGTTCATTTGCACGCGGTACCGCTATGGTCACCGGTTTCACTCGCTCATACACAGCGGGCTCGCACCTCCCCGACATGACCTCAGAGTAGCTTAAGGTGTCCTGTAACCTTGTCGACCAAACTTCTAGGTGCCGGTCCGACTCCAAGCACTGTCAAGCTTCCCGCCTCGATCTGGGTCCGGCCAGCGTCGGCAATGACCTCGGCAGTGACGCCCAAATCCCACGCCGTCTTCCGCAGATTCCTGAGCTCCTCCTCATTCTTCGTTTGTACCGCGATCTTGGCCTGGCCGAGCTTCTCCCAGCGGTTGAGGATTCGGGCTTCCGGGGATGAAGGGCCGTTCTTGGCAGCTGCGCGAGAGAGGGACTTGTAACAGGCGAGTGTCGCGTGGGAGCATTGGGCCGCGATTTTACCTGCGCCACAAGATAAATGTCAATGGGGAGGTCCCAGTAGCTTGGTAGGACGGAGAAGTAAGGTAGAGAGGCCGGCGAGGAGGCGCCAGGGACGTGCGAACCTTTAGTCATGCCCAAGTCCGTCCGCACCACCAGAACGAGCTTGCATTCTTCGTTGCCATTGTCCACGACGGTAGGTGTCCGCCTGACTGCAGCGGCTTGGCGCAGACCATCGCGGCGATCAGCAGCCTCTCCATTGGCCCAATTCGGTGCGTGGTCGAGGATGGTGTCGCTCTCGTCGATATCCGACTCGTCGCTTTCCACGGGGTCTTTTAGGTTGCCATCGCGCTCAGCGGTCAACTCTGGAGAGATCAGGTAGCCGCGAATGGCGTAAACGCCGAGTCCAAAGCCCGTGATGAACGCCACACTCGACGTGGTGAGAATGATGTGTAGTTGGTCTGCCATGACAACCAAAACTTTGCTTTTTCTTTGCCGCTCTGTATGTGTCTGGAACAGCGCACAGCCTGTCCGAAGAGTCTCCACGGAGTGAGATAGATGGATGACTTAAGGCTCCAGGGCCTTTGAGAAGGTATATATAATTCGCGAGGAGTCGTGGGCAATACCGCAAATAAGGGATTACAGACGGAGTTCCAATTCGATTCAAGAGATTCGTTTTCTCGGGAAGGCAACGCTTTTATGCGCTGGACGGATGACGCATGAAGGGCCTTTCAAAAGGTCAGGTAAGGTACCTTACCTGGGGGACCTTATTTTTTTCTTCTGGGTGGTACTGATAAGATAAGAAATACATGAGGCTCCCCCCCTCCCCCATCGACATCACAAGCATCGCCTCGCGGGGCATCCTCCGGTGAACAATTATTCCCAGTGTCCAGAGAAGTCATTCCACGAGGCTCACACGTTTGGGATCGTCGGGATTCATGTGATAAAACGCCATGACTGAAAGTCGAGCTGTTATTGTCGGCCTCAGCGGTTGCTCTTCCAGCGGAAAGACAACCCTCGCACGTCTTCTCCGTGATATCTTTCCCGACACTTTCATCTTGCATGAAGATGACTTCTACAAGGCTGAGATTGAGTGAGTGGTTTATATCAGAGGGTGAAACATGCAACACAATTAGTTTCGAGCTCACATACTGAATCTTGGCCAAGGCTTCCTGTCAAAGATGGGTTCCGAGACTGGGACTGTCTTGAAGCGATCTCTATCCCAGACATGGAGAAAGCCCTCACTCACGTACGATCCACGGGGGTCTTTCCTGTACGTTTTGCCGCTGTTCGTGGACGGAGATCCTTGACCCACTTTCTCACAACATGACATCTCGCCAGCCCTTTGTAGATTCCAAAGAAGACCAAAACTCCGCCGGGAAATGTCCAGTTTCGGAAGCTAAGATCGAGGCCCTGAAATCCAAAGTGGCCGCTTGGACGCAGCCCGGACAGCCTGGTCATGATTTATTCAACATTCGCAATCTACGGCTTTGTCTCTTTGACGGCTTTCTCCTTTACTGTCGGGAGATGGAATCCACGATGCGCCTCATCGACATCAAGCTGCTTTTGCGAGCGAGCTATGCCCAGGCGAAGCAGCGCCGCGAGGCTCGCGACGGCTATGTCACCCTCGAGGGATTCTGGAAAGACCCCCCTGGCTACGTCGATGCCATTGTGTGGCCAAATTATGTCGAGTCGCATGCTTGGCTCTTCGAGGACGGTGGCGTAGAAGGGCGGTTCAATGAAGGCGTTTTATTGGAAAGGGGGATACGGGCTCAGACCCACGAGGGCCCGGATGTGGACATGGAGAGGACTTTGGAGTGGACTGTTGAGACTATCATGGGCGAACTAGTGAAGAGGGCGGCAAGTGAATGCTCGAAACCGAAAGCGGCAGAATGATAATTTCTCTCAGCCTCAATCAGGTGAGTTTCCTGTGCTGTGGAGGCGCATTGTGACCGTGTTCCATGGTTTACTTCGCATGACCAAGTTGGGCTTTATGCCCAAGCAGAGTAGGTTGTCCGATGTAACTGCAGAAACTTTGCATGGACAACACTGCGTCTTTATTCTGCACGATGAGGATGATTACACGAGCTCTTTCAGAAGCTATGGACATACCCATCGGTCATCTGTTTAACGTTACGAGAATATAGCCCAGTCGTGTTATGATCTGGGGCGATTTAGGAGCCCGGGGCAAGCTGGATCACGGACAGATTCCAAGAGGGCCAACAATATGGGTGCTGTTCCAAATGCAAAGACCGAGTCCAGGATGAAATGTCCGTACGTATACCTACTTTTCAGATGTAACGCGGCATGCACCGGGAACTTGGTTGACATACAAATACCATGAGCGCGTGACAAATATTTGAGATGATCTCTCCAATGTAGGATGTTTGGTCGAAGGGCGACGTCCGGATCGCCGTCATCATTGCCATGGTCAAAGCTCCATCGTCCGGGCAACCTTCGCAATGCTGAAGACAATGCCGATTATCATGGCTCTTTACAACGTTATCTTCGTCGGCACCGGGTGTTGCGTTCGGCTGCAAGGGCGCTGGAATATGTAAAAGGGACTACTACTCTACTCGCAGCTGCGCACATTCAACGAAACATGTAGCCAAGCCATGGTTTTCCCCAACCTCATAGATCGACGATCTCGGAAAAAAGGTCCGGAATATGGCGGCCCCAGAATCACCCGTCCACCAAGCTCAGCTTTTTACGGCGAGCGAGGCTTCTCTAGATGCCCGGTCGTTTTTGGATCTGTCGATTGGATGATTGACATCATAAAAACTGTGATGGCTCCTTGGAGTAATCGAACTGCCACAGCAATCGACCCTGAACTCGTTTTTAGGCGAGCAGAGGATCGCTGGGCACAGATCCGTGGTTTGTTAAAGAAGAAAGAAAGGAAAGAAGGTTAGAAATTTTCGGAGACGAGATATGTAGTCGGCCCAGCCCCACTATTCCGTGATTATGTCAGCCTAGACATGACTTTCGTATCTGCAGCGCACTGGCCACCCCTCGGAGTGTGACTAGCCGTCCGTCCCCCGTGCAGCAATCTTCTGCCAAATCAACCGCCTCACTTTATTCACACCCAGCATCAAACATCACAACTTGCGAGACCAGACAGTGGCCTCTACTCCGTTGAAAAAGAGTAGTGACTATAAAACCTGTGATAAAAAAGGTCCCGCCTACCCAAGCTTTTCCGCCAGCCATCCGTCATGGATGCCGCGACCATTGAAGAGACGAATCGCATGCGCGAGTCGTTAGGCTTGAAGCCTCTTCCCATCCCTGGCGCAGCAGCACCATCGCCATCGAGAGAATCCCCGGAACCATCCGAGGGGGAGGCTGAAGATGAACCCAGCACCATCGAAACGCGTGAGGCCAAGGCATACGACAACTACAAGGCTCTACAGGAGGCTGAAGAAGCCAAGCGGCGCCGCGAAGCCAGGGCTGCAGCGGTAAAGAGGCAACGAGACGAAGCTCAGCGCTTTGCCAGTCTCCACGGCAAAGGCTTGGGCGAAGCACATGAGACGGTTGATGTCGATGCGAAGACATGGTTGAAGTTGCAGAAGAAGCGTCGGAAAGCCATCGAGAAGACGCGAAAGCTTGAGGATGAGCAAGCCGCGGCCGATGCGGCTGCAGCTGCTGCTTTGGAGTACACGTCCAAGGACCTCGCCGGCGTCAAGGTTGCCCACGACGTGGCCGACTTTCTAAAGGGCGATGAGCAAGTCCTCACGCTCAAAGATACGACCATCGATGAGAACGAGGCAGAGGGGGATGAGCTGGAAAACCTCGACCTCCGGGCAAAGGAGAACCTGAAAGAACGACTAGACGTCAAGAAGAAGACGTCGGCTTACAATGGGCACGATGATGAATCGGGCGAACGAGGTGTTCTGTCACAGTACGACGAGGAAATCTATGGAAAGAAAGGAAAGAAGTTCACCCTCGATAGCTCGGGTGCTATAGCTGAGCTAGCCGATATTCTCGATGGCCCGGCCGAGAAAAGCAGGAAACTCCAGAGCATTGACCTGGACATGATGCGTAAGGCTGCGCTTGGTTCTGTTTTTTCTGAATTATCTGAGCTGACACACGATTATTTAGAAGACAAGCCTCAATCTGATTACCTCGATGTTTCGGAAATCAAAGTCAAGAAACCCAAGAAGAAAAAGTCCAAGACAACGCGCCAGAAGCCCATCGACGACGATGATATAATAACCCCAGACGCTACAATTCAGGATAATTCTGCAGAGACAGAGATGGATGTCGACTCGGCTGTGCCCGCCGCAAAGAAGCGGAAAACCTGGGATGATTCCTTCGTGGATGACGAGGACCTTCAGACGTCGTTGGCCATCCAAAGAAGGACTGCACTGAAGAAACGGAAGAGGACAAGGCCGGAGGATATTGCCAGAGAAGTCAGGCAGCTATCGGAGAAACCCGAGGACGACGCCGAGGAAGAAGGCGGAGTCGTCATTGATGACGTCTCCGAGTTCGTATCCGGGTTGAAAAAGCCCGAAGAGAACGAAAGCAGAGTTCGGAAATCGAAACCGGCAGTCGAGCAGTCCGCCACAGCGATGGACGAAGAGTTGGATGAGGACGAAGACGTGCCTATGGACGATGCCGCACGTGAAACGTCGCCAGAAGTTAAGAAGGATGAAACTCCAGGCCCCGGTGTTGGAGGCTTCGACGAGGAGAAGACGGTCGGAACGAACACTGGAGTCGGCTCAGCCCTTGCATTACTGCGCGAGCGCGGCCTGATCCAAGAGTCTCATGGAGCGGAACTCAACGAGGAATTCCGCCAGAAGGCCGAATTCCTTGCCTCCAAACGACGCTTAGAACAAGAAGCGGATGATAAGACGCGGCATCAGAGAGAGCGCGACAGGATGAGCGGTCGTTGGGACCGGATGTCGGTTCGCGACCGCGAGGACTGGGCTCGCCAGCAGAATGCGTACCGCGACCAGCAGCAGTCCCGCACCGTGGACGGCCTCTTCAAGGCTCATTACAAGCCCAACGTGGAGCTCAAGTACACGGACGAGTTCGGTCGAAGACTCGACCAGAAGGAAGCGTTTAAACACCTAAGCCACCAGTTCCACGGCAAGGGAAGCGGCAAGGGAAAGACTGACAAGCGCCTGAAGAAGATCGAATCCGAGAAGAAACGCGAGTCGGAAAGCATCCTCGACTCGAGTGCCAACGCCACCATGAGCGCATCCGGCGCCAAGCGAAGGGAGGCCGGTGTTCGTCTGCAGTAAATGATTCAGGGGCCTGGATTTTGGCGTGAAAAAGGTGCAATACCCTTGTGAGATTAGTATCCGAACCATTAAGAGAGCTTATTTCCTGCTGACACGATGAGCACCCACTAGACTCCTGGTCAGTGATCATCCTTTTTGGCTTCTGTGTGTCTCTCGGTTTACCCCCTTTCTTTCTCTCCCCTCTTCTTCTTCCCCATCTCCGCCCTTTTGCTGCATCTAGTGGAAGTGTGCACCGGAAAGTGTGTATCGGCCGAATCCTGGGAGCTCAGCACGTTAGCAAGCTACTCGACACGGCCAGCTGATACTCTCCCCGCTACGCCGAAGGCTTACCTAGCCCCTTGTATGCCTCCCACGTCTGTCGTATCATTCCCAGAACCTCGTCGAAAACCATAGGTAAGCGTGCAAGCCCCGTCTGGACGTCAGTCCCTTGAATTTCATTGAGTGCCTCGTCAACGTGATGAAGCAATTCCTCTATGACGGGAGACGAATTCGATGCACCTCGCCGTAGCGAACAAGTGCTAGCAGTAAGACTTGAATAAGGGTGAGATGGGTACGACTTGTGACTTGGAGCCTTGATGACACGCAGCGGCGCAACCATTTCATTGTCGTTCGTTTGATCCGTCATGGTGCTAGCACAGCCTGTAGCCAGCACTCGAGCACTATTCACTATTCCTGCTTCCTCCGTTCTGTGACGTGACGATCAAAATGGGCCGGACCTGCGATCACAATCCACAGTGTGTGGAGATCAGAGGCGGGACGTGGAATTCAGTAAATATCCCAGGAGTGACTGGGTCTCGTATGTTAGTTAGACCCTGGCTATTTATTTCAACGTCTATAGGAGCATAATGGACGTATTTCACAAAGGACTCGGCCCATCGGCACTAGATGACGAACTTCGTCCAACACATGTTCTAATTTAAGTGGCCTATTCTTAAACTGCAACGGGCTTTGTTCGCGTTCTTGCACCCTGTGGGAGACTTGTCCTTGACCTAATATTTTCTATACTACCTAAAAGACTTCATGTTATCGGGGTTGGGCTTTGATCTATTGTGACCATTATGGCCCAACGAGCCAACAATGCGTAAAGCGGGTTTTGTCAACCTGCAGGCTCCAAGCAGCAGCAATTTATTCGTTCTTGGCCGTCGCCTCACTTGCATACGACCTGTCATCAAAGAGAGATTGCCGGTTGGGTACGCTTGGTCGAGGCTTGAGAGAGAAGATGAGGAGATCAGGCATCGGACACTGCAGTAACGAATCATCTTAGGTATATCATCATCGTAAAACTACGCAGCCGGTCTTGCCGGTACTCGCGGGCTTCTCAAACCCGTTGCCCCAATCCTGAACCGAAAAAAGCCGGACCCTTAGCCTCCTTTGTCTATAAGAACCTAAACTCCCCAATGGGCCCCCATACCTGGTTCAGAATCTGATATGAGCGCCGATTCCATTGCCTATGTACCAAACCGTTTCCCGCCAGTTCCCAATCCTCACAGTGACATTAGCCCTGGCGTCCAACTGTAAATCTCCTCCAAGAGCCTTTCTGACTGCATCGTAACCGATCGACCCGACTGACCATTCAACTGGTAAATTCGGAGTTCTCGTGGTCCCCGGTAAGGCAGCAAACGGAATGTCGTACTCTATCCTTCCGACGGGCTCCGTGTGATTGTAATACGCCGTCGCGTTGACCGTGTCAATATATATTGTGTTGTAATGCAGGGGTGAAACAAGTGTGAAAGTGGCGGTAGAAGAAAACAAGTGGAAAGTTGCGTCTCGGATAAAGCGACCCTCATCGTCTTCCTCATCTCCAAATTTCAGTTTGGGCGCTGGGAGGCTGATGTTGAGACGCGAGAGAGCTTCCCCGATCAGGGGCACGGCAGGGATGCTGTCACGATGCGTTTGGATGTCCATGGTGACGTTGAAGCCAGACAAGTACTGCGACAGCAATTCTTTCCCGACCATTTTCCCTTTCTCTCCAGCTTCGAAAGGGTTCCATACGGCAGTAATCGGAATGTTAGTATGGTTCCCTCGCGTAATGTTCAAATGCTCTGCGGTGGCGCTTCCCACCACAGACCCGTTCTTCGCAACGTGGACATTGATATAGGGGATGTAGGCCGTGTAAGGCGTCGGGTTGGTGAGATTGACAACCGCCTCAAGATGAATGGACGTGGGACTGGTGTCGAGAATCCTGACTTCTCCAACCTGGGGGCTGATGGACCCAAAGAGATCGTTCGGCATATCTGGGCGGACGCCATTAGCACGGACTCTTCCGAATTGTCGCGGGACGCCGATGACCAGTCAAGCCAGGAGCAGTAGTAGACGCAGCGGCCCGAGAGGAGACGAACAGTATTAAAGTGAGTACGGACGTTTTACTGGAAGCCGGCCTTTGGCGGGAAGTCCCTTCAGGGCCAGGTCGCCGAGGACGGCGTTGACTTTGACATCAACATTGGCCTTGACATCGAGCAAAACATCTTGGCCGCCAAAAAAAAGCTTCTGTATAACCTCGGAAAACACGTCGCCATCAGTAATGTCGAGGGGGACATCTTCCACGCGTGATTCGATTTTCAGTAGGGTCAGATGGCTTTGCTCTTCCTCCATCTTGGTAGAAGTGGAGTGCTGCCACTTGCTAATGTTGAGCTCACCCATCTTACGTTCCTTGTAGAAGACGTCGGCCGTCGCGCGAAGGCCCGTCACATTGATTCCGAGGTTCATCTCCCCCGGAAGAACGGCGACAACCTTGAGGTTTCCGGACACTCGAGGGTTTCCATCGTCATTCGGATCCTCAGGACCACCCAGGAGGTCCGGCAATTTAAAGTGGACGTTGGTGAGAGTGAAATTTCTTATGAAGTCGTCGGCCTTATGAGCGGGGAACGGGACAGGTATGGTAATATTAGATAGGGTAACACTGATCCAGTCCGGAGTTTTCGACTCCGGTAACCGCTGACCTCGGACGTAAACCGTTGGAGAGTCGCCATGCAAATACTGCTGCAAGAAGTTGTCCAATGGCGAGGACCGTGAATTCGGGCAAACACGCGTAAGCCGCGTCGGAATCTCCTGGACAAGGCCATGCGCATCGAGTAGGACGTCGGCATGTGGGCGTACAGTGATATGTCCAGTAATGGCATCCGCAACAACGATGAGTGGATCACTGGGATAGCAGTCCGGCACAAGGACCTGGAACCCAAGTTCAGGAACATCTAGGCTGACGGGGAAATCGTTGTAGGCGGTAACGGAAATATCAGCACCAAGTGCCCCACCATGGCCGTCGGGAGTTGTGACATCGCGAAAGTTGACCTGGGTTATATTATAGGTTGGGAGACTAGGTATTCGTTTCGCTGCACACAGCATTAGCAGCTAAGTCGAGACAAAGAGTCACAGAACACATTTTGTTTTTGTTCTTGTTTCTCGGTTTATTATAGCAGAGCTTTCTCTCCAAAATATAGGGATGCAAAGGAACGGTAGAGAGATTGACCTTCCAGGACTAGGGTCTCAGTGACGGGGTGAGTGCCAAGCGGGATGATGCCCGACTTGACGCTGAGGTCGGCACGGCCAAGCACCTTGAGTCGGTCGAGCTTCCCTTCTAACCAGTCGTTCGCGATTGTACGATAGGACTCTGCGTCACCCGGAGAGAGTTCGGTAATAAAGTCGAGCGGGGTGGTTTCCCCGTCCACTAGACTGATGACCAGCGGAGGGATGACAGCGGTTCCCAGGAGAGCATTGTCATAATCGGGCAAGTACAAATCCACCCGGGTCTCCTCGGTGCCCAATTTTCTCACTACCCAAGTTGTAAACCTCCCTAGCCGCCTCGAGGCATCATCTTGAACTCTCGAGCCGTCGAGTCGGAAGCTGGCTTGAATCCGTGCACGAAGGCCGTTGGCCGTGATGGATTCGAGTGACAAGCTCGTGGGCTCCAGCACGGCCGCCTCTTTCGCATACACTTCGACGGCGGACGGTAGGAGGAAAGCGCCCAGAAGGATGGTGGTAGCTAGTATTCCAAGGATCAGCGCAGCAACGAGCGAAGGCCAGCGCCTGGCCCGCTCCTCCATCGCGTTCTTTGCTGCATCGGAAGAACCGGGGTAGGCGACGGAAGAATCGTTAGGGTCGTCTTGATCTCCGTCGTATCTGGGAGTCGCGGACGTGCTAGAAAGCAGCGGCTCCGTCTCCGAGGCTATGTCTTCATCTCGAGAAATAGTATTGGTTTCTCCTCGCGGGGCAAGCGATGATGATGATGATGATGATGATGATGATGGTGACTTGGGACCTGACATAATGATCGGAGATGGTTCGCTGCGGGGTGTTTGTTGGGCTCAGACTAGCATGGACAACAGACCATATCCGGCCTCCCTGGGAGATGCCGTCAATGTAATGATATAGTGCGTTGGATTTGACTGATGAGACAGCGATATAGCGATGATGGAGGTGAGGAGATTTCAAAGGAGATAGAAGTCAAGACGGACGGGAAAGCATCACGTCAGAGGATATAAGAAAGTTGGAATGACCTCGTCAGTATCCTTGTACGTAACACCTGTCTCCACCATTCTTGGAGTGGTCCAGGCACCATCGACTGAGGCCGCACCTGACGTGGAGCAGGAGCTATGAATCATCAGGCCAACGATTCGCTGAAATTCTTCTCCCCTGGAAAGAAATGCACTAACCACCTTAGGGTGGACCAAAGTGTGGGGAAGTGGTGCTCTCCGTTATCGGAGCAGGCTGTGTCGTTTGATCCAATGATTGCCTTCCGATACAAGAAAGCACTTAAAGGTATAATGTACTTCTTGAGAGCTCCTGTAATTATGGCTTTTTTCTTGATTCGGTGTGATGCGGTGAGAGAGCTTCCACATTACTCACTACAAGCACCTCGAAGTGACTCAATAACTGGGAAGCCATTGGCCGAACGCTTTAGCCTTTGCTCCTAATGCCGAGTTCTAAACACACGTACGGACGACTCCCATAAGCTGTCTTCTTAAGAATAAGTTTCACAAGTCCCCATTGCCAACAACAAGCACCATCAACATGGTGAAGGTCGCGATGAGGCAAACAGCATTTCGACTCAGCCGACAAGTCCTCAATGGCACCCAACTGAGGGCCTATTCGCAATCTGCCGCATCGCCCCCTCGTCATCTTATGTCCATAAGTGACCTCTCTCCAGCCGAATTCGCCACCTTAGTCCGGAATGCTGCCTCTCACAAGAAGGCCGTTAAGGCTGGCCAGACCCCTCCCGCCTTGAGCTCAAGCCTTGCTGGCAAAACCGTCGCTATGATGTTCAGCAAGCGGAGCACCAGAACCCGAGTGTCGACCGAGGCTGCCGTCGCCCTTATGGGTGGTCATCCCATGTTTCTGGGCAGTTCCGATATCCAGCTAGGGGTTCGTATCAGTCTTGTCTCTCAGTGTCTTTGGGAGTACTGCATTATCTGACAACTGCCCCAATCTTCAGGTGAATGAGTCTCTATACGACACTTCCAAAGTCATCTCCTCCATGACGTCCTGTATGGTCGCCCGTGTAGGGCCCCATTCGGATGTTGCCAACTTAGCTAAGGATTCGAGCGTGCCCGTCATTAACGCCCTGTCCGACGACTTCCACCCTCTCCAAATTATCGCCGATTTCCTCACCATTCACGAGGCCTTCGGGACATCTGCCTCTCCAGACAAGTCTGACCTAGGCGTCAGGGGTCTCAAAGTCGCCTGGGTCGGTGATTCTAACAACGTCCTGTTCGACCTCGCCATCGGCTGTGTCAAGATGGGTGTTGACATCGCCGTCGCGTCGCCCGCCGGCTACGGCATTCCTGAAGCCATGAAGCAAGTCATTGCTTCAGCTGCCCACGGTGTCTCGTCTCCTGGAAAACTCTCCCAAACCACCGTCCCCGAGGAGGCTATCAAAGACGCCGATGTTCTCGTTACCGACACATGGGTATCGATGGGACAGGAGGAAGAGGCCCAGAAGCGGTTGAAGGCTTTCGCAGGTTACCAGATCACCAATGACTTGGCTAAGCGTGGGGGCGCCAAGGAAGGATGGAAGTTCATGCACTGCCTTCCCCGTCATCCCGATGAAGTAGCCGACGAAGTGTTCTACAGCCCCAGGTCGTTGGTGTTCCCGGAAGCGGAGAACCGGTTGTGGGCAGCGATTGGTATGTGAAATTTCTGAGAAGCTGTGAAAGAAGTTACATTGACTAACCCGAAAATCTTTAGCTGCTTTGGAAGGGTTTGTCGTAAATAAGGGTCAGATATAGGCGAGAAGCTGGGTATCACGTTTTCTTGGGCGGTCGAAAAAGTTGGACAACGAGTGAACCAAGTGAAGTTTAGAATTGGCCCGATAAAAATATCACGCTTGTCATCACCAGGCGAGCAAGGAGAACTAAGTTGAAACGGAAAGTTTGTTTCATAATACAGCCTAGTGATAGTAAACACCTCCGACAAACGCCGCGTAGCCTTCTTTGGTTCATGTACAATAGCGGCTTGTTAACCGGGAGGAAGCTGGCTAGCGTCGACAATCTCATCGGCTTCCTTAAGGAGGGGCTCATCCTGTTCGCTCTGCAGCGGAGATCGGGGCAGGGCCATCAGACCAGTCCGGGCCGATTCCAGGATGCCGAAGGGGCCAACAAGTTTCAGGAAAGAGTCGATTCTCGATTGTTTGGCGGATCTGTTGCTATGTTAGCCATCCATTCCGGAAAACATGGCCTCAAGGAAGCGGGAATGTGCTTACATCTCCACAATGCAGCTGTTTGTGCTAATATCGAGAACCTTGCCGCCGAACTGGTGTGCGAAATAGGTGATAGTTTTCAAGTGCTCGTGCTTATGGCGAAGCGCCTCGCTGAGGGCAAGCTTGCTCGGATGGAAGTCCTTAGCGGTCTCTTCCAGAGTCTGCTCGAGCCCCTCGGCGGAAGCCGGGTCTGCATCGCTCGCTGTGATCTCACGGTGGTGTGCGAGCAGCTCCTCAAAGTATTCGGGGCCGAGGATGTTTATTTTGGCAAGGAGAAGCTCTCGTTGCACAAGTGCTGCGTTGGTGTAGTTAAGGACGGCCCATACAGGAACCAGATCCTCGAGCTGGCGGCGTGCCTGCTCGACGACGCCATCCTGGCCAGTCAGAACGATCGTCATCCGAGAAAGATCCTCGACCTCGGTGTTGCAAACAACGAGTGAATCGATGTTGAACCCACGGGCCGCGAGAATTCCAGAGACACGAGACAGAACACCGGGTTCGTTCTGGACAAGGCAGTTCAGAATGTGACGCTTGGGAGGCTGCATTGACGGGGACGGGGTCTCGTAAAGGATGTTGGACACAGCCGCCTGGGCGGACCAGGCAGGCGACTTGTCGACGGGAAGAGGCGCAGAGCGGCGGCGAATAGATTTGTAGGCCATGGCGGCAGTCGACTTGCTGCTCGAGCTCCAGCGTTGCAAGGCCGGGGCGGACGAGGTTGCGGTCACCGCTGCGGCCAGTTGCGGCCGAAGCCGGAGCGGCGTTGCGAGGCAGCGAGACGCCATTTCCTGATCAGCTGTGAGAACGACAGTGTCCTCTGACCAGAAAAGGGCAAATCCCGATACCCAAGGTGTCGCGCAATCAGTGCAAAGAAGCCAATTGGTGTTGGCTGGTGCAGACTGACGCCAATGGGAAAGAATTTGGGGAAGTGAAAAATTCCTGGGCAATTCGACGACCGTTAAGTCGAGTCACAAGGGTACGCTATGTGATTGGGCCTCCGATGTATCGGACGCAGGGTTGCCGGAGGCCGATGCACGGACCCCTCCGCTCCGGGTGATGACAACGTGCTGCACGTTGTAGACGGTGTCCAGCTTAGTCACATTATGTACTCCATCCTTCGTACCAACGGATCGGATCGGCTTCCAACCTTAGGTAGGTTGGGGAGGTACAACGGTGTAGGTACGTACTTCGTACTTCGTTTTGGGGGGCCCTCTTCTTTTCCATGAGGTGTCTTTACCTATGGACCCGTATTCGGCAAGGTACGAAGTATCCATACCAGACCAAAAGCGTTATTAGTAACTCTTGTAACTCTCGTCCACCTTGCAGCCTCGCTTTTCATTTGGGAAAGTTTGAGTATTTTCCCCTTCCAATCTGCCTTGCCAACACAACCACAAACCCGACTACGCCATCACTTATCTCTCGACGGCAAGATCCTGACTTTTAATCTCTGATATATTCTGTGACTTTGTTTTGGGATGGATGACGCCGAACGCCGTTCTGTGAAGCGGTCGAGGTTCGACCAGACCGAGCCCGAGCCCAGGAAGACGTCGCGCTTCGACAGGCGCTCCCGTTCGCCGCCCTCGAAACGATCTGATCACGGTCGAAGTCGGAGTCCGTTGGCTTCTGTTGGAGATGCGACCGATGCGAAGAAGTCGCCTGCCGTGGATCCAGCAGCCGCTGCAGGTAAGCTCGTTTAGCCAGGCATGCCTCAGCGGGGATGCCAATACTGACTTTTCTCTGCCTGTTTTAGCTGCCGCGGCCGCACGCATCAATGCCCAGCTCCAAGCAAAGAAGGGCATTCAGCATGTCGATGTCCCACCCATCAAGTCGGCCACTCCGCCTTCGAATGCTAGCGGAACACCGAAGCCCGAGAACACGATCAACGGCGAGATGTACGTCGCCGACGGCGACTATATCAAGGATATTGAGGTCAACGATCTGCGCAACCGATACCTTCTGACCAAAGGATCTACACAGAAGATGGTAAATTATCCTTTGAAAGCCACTGATTGCGTCCCCATCATTCAGACAACGTTTGCACCGATAGACTAGGCTCATCTTGCGTATTAGTCTGCATTTTCTACTTTTGTTTTGTGTCGGGGACTACCTGCTTACTGGGCCTCACAGCTCACACAGCGTCCTGCTCTTTTGCATCTGCTGACACCCGCTGCTTGATTTAGATTAAAGATGATACTGGTGCTGGTACGCAACACCTCCCGCCTTTGCCTTTGTGGAAGAACGGACATTAATGTTGACTCTACAAGACGTTACTACTCGAGGAAGTTATTATCCCGATAAGAGCATGGCGACCCCAGCGGTGCGTATCTTTTCTCCATCGATACATCGAGCCCCGGACTGACGTTGCGACAGAACCCGCCCCTTTACCTGCACGTCACGAGTACATCAAAGGAGGGTCTCGAGAAGGCCGTGGCCAAAATTGAGGAATTGATGAAACAGGAACTTCCGCAGCTCGTGGATGAGCGTCGCTTTCGCCGCCGCGAGCAGGAGCACGTCGAGCGTGACGAATATGGCCGTGTACGTGTCCAATTATTTTGAAGTGAGACTTTCCGTTCTCCTGCTGATATGTCCCGGTATTCACAGCGCAAATGGCCTGAAGAGAAGATCCCCATTGGCTTCGAACCCATCCCGGGCTTCAATCTTCGAGCACAAGTCGTGGGCCATGGCGGTGCCTACGTGAAGCACATACAGGGTGAAACGCAGTGCCGAGTCCAAATCAAAGGTCGTGGCTCTGGTTATTATGAAGCCTCCACGCACAAGGAGAGCGAAGAGGAAATGTACCTCCACGTTACGTATGTATTTCACTCTTGGTCCCTGGTCCCAAATCTTCACCTTCAACTGGATACTGACTCGCGTCTCAGAGGCCCCGATCCAAATATGGTGATGAAGGCAAAGGAACTCTGCGAGGATTTGATTGCGAACGTCAAGGAACAGTACGAGGAGTTCAAAAGCCGACCTCCGCGGAACTTTGGTGGCTATGGTGGCGGTCGCGGCTACGGCGGCGATCGCGGTTATGGTGACCGGGGGTACGGTGAGCGCTCACACTCGCACGATCATTCTCGGGGTGGATCCCACGGTGGCTCGCAGAGTGGAACTCCTGATCCGGCCCGCGGCGGACCGCACGGGGCATCCCATGGGGCATCTCATGGGGCATCTCATGGAGGAACTCATGGAGGACATGGCGGAACTCATGGAGCGTCTCATGGAGCGTCTCATGGGGTATCTCATGGCGGCTCTTACCAAGGCTATGGCGGCTATGGGAGTCAGGCCGCTGTCCAGACAGGCAGTCCGGCACCCCCAGCAGCTAGCACTACGCACAACGTCTCCGACTACGCAGCTCAGTACGCACAAATTTACGGGGGTCAGGATCCTTATGCTGCCTATGGCGGCTACGCGGCGTAAGTGACCAGTTTCGTACTTGCTTCCCATAACATTACACTAACGAGTTCTCAGTTACGTCCAAATGTATCAGCAGTATTACGCAGCGGCCCAACAGCCACAACTGCAGCAAGGCTCGCCCCCGCCTCCCGGTACAGGAACATCCGCGTCTCCTCCGCCTCCTCCGCCTCCTCCCAGTGAGGCAGCACCCCCACCGCCACCGCCGAGCTCGGCCCCTCCTCCCCCTCCTCCGTCAGCATCCCCCCCAGGCATGGGTAACTATGGCAATGTACGTACCTCTCCTGTCTAGATGTGCATGCCGAATTTGTCCTTGGCTGACAGGCATGCAAGGTGCCCCCTCCCCCTGGTCTTTAAAAGCGACGGTGTTTGGTAAACGGCTCGGGAGAATCCACACGGAAACTTCTTGAAAAGTACAACGTCGGCGGCACAGTCAGAACACGCCGTGCGTGCCTTCTTTCTGGGGTTGTAAGGTAGAATGTCGGCCTTGTGGATACCACGGATGCCCCGACGTGGTATCTTCGGGGGCCGCTGGCCATGGATAAGGTAAGGTAGTTAGCAACTGGCACGGCATAGGGCATCTTAGCGTAATTATTCAGTGGTCCTTATAGTGCGACTATAGTGCGATAATATCTCACGCAACCACTGCGCGTTTTACACCGTGCCGAATCACAACTGAGGCTGGGTGTTCCTACCTCTGTCTTGGCTCTAGGATTGCGACTGCAAAGGGTTGTTGTAACACTCCCCCTATTATAATTTGAGCTCTGCGAGGGGACTAATATAGTCCCTACGAGGCAATTGCTATGTCTGTATCTTCGAAACGTCGTATAGTCAGTTCGAACAAAAGGAACGAAGCACTTACACGCAAATTATTACCTTATATAAAGTGCCTCAGTCCTTTTGTCAGGCCACTGGACGTTGTACGTAATCACCTACCTACCTTGAGGTGGTCAGCTTTAAGGTGAAGCTTTGTAAGTACCTCTGTACTCCGTGTTATCCCTTTAGGCGCACACACTGTATCCGGTATCCGTCAACAGTAAGGTAGACCCACTCGAGGTAGATCGAACCGTCAAAATGTCGCCGAGGATGGAAAGAACAGAGAGCTCGTTACCTTATTTGTAGCTACTCTCTTCTAAAGCATATTGCACTTGCTACTCCGTACGACTCAGGGCTTCCGAGCCTAGTATAAGGACCCGGGTGGCCGCGCTTCTTTTCCCACCCGAAGATTGGACAACCACCTCCCCAGGCCAGCTCCCTATCGCCATGAGCCACCAGCGATACCCCTCACACGACCCAGTCAAAGAGCCTCATTCCATCTCCCTTAAAGTCTTACGGTTGGTACAGTGCCCAGTCCGGACCCCTATATTCCGTACCTTTTCCGACGACTATCCTAGTTTCTTCTCCGGTAGGAGCGCATGACTAACTAATCTTTACTAGGCTCTCGCGCCCTTCCCTCGTAACGCAACAGCCAGTGGAGCAACCTCTCTCCCCGAATACCCTGAGCACGGGCCCTTCGCTCGCCTCTCTCGCCTACGCAAAAGGACCAGGTGTGTCGAGTATAGTGGTGCCAGAAACGAACCCCGACTCTTTCCTTCTCACCCCTATCCTCAACCTGCCTCTATCATTTGGCTCCGCGTACGTCGGGGAACACTTCAGTTGCACCCTATGCGCCAACCATGACATCCTCGACCCGGACGCTGCGCCTTCACAAGTGCAAGGGCAGGAACAAACGCATCAGCCGAAGAAAAAAAGGATACGCGATGTCAAGATCGAGGCGGAGATGAAGACACCTCGGGGCGGCGGCACCGTACAGAAACTAGAGCTCACAGGCGGACCCCAGCCTGATAGTTTGGGAACAGGGGCAGGAGGGACCACGAGTCAAGGGGCGGGGGGGAATAGAGGCGTGGACCTCGAGCCCGGGGAGACATTACAGCGCATAGTCGGCTTTGACCTGAAAGAGGAGGGTAACCACGTTCTGGCCGTGACGGTAAGCTATTACGAAGCGACGGAGACGAGCGGTCGCACGAGGACGTTCCGGAAGCTATACCAGTTCATCTGCAAATCGTCCCTCATTGTTCGAACCAAGGTCGGAGCTCTGGGCGGCCTACCTCCTGCTGCTACCGCATCTACCGACGACGAAGCCTCCGAGCGCGAGGACGGGGCCAAGAAGCGGCGGCCACCGCCGCGGAGGCGGTGGGTCCTAGAGGCGCAATTGGAGAACTGCTCCGAGGATGCCATGCAGATGGAGCGGGTGCTTTTGGACCTCGAGCCCGGGTTGAGGTATAGAGACTTCAACTGGGACGCGAGCGGCAAGCCCGTACTACACCCTGGGGAAGTGGAACAGGTGTGTTTTGTCGTGGAAGAGGAAGAGGACGGGCCCCAACTCGAGGCTAGGGAGGACGGCAGGATTGCGCTCGGGGTATTGGGAGTGGGTTGGCGGGGCGAGATGGGGAATCGAGGCTTCCTGACAACGGGAAAACTAGCGATGCGTACTGTGGCCGTCAAGCCATGATAGGTGGAGCTGTCAGCAGGTGCAGGCGTGGGTGAAGCCACAGTTCTTGGGCTCACCCGACCGGTACGATGAGACAAGATGGAATGATTATCCATGGTCCAGCTGCCCAGCAGAGGTGGCGAAAACTCGCCGAACTGGCTTAGAAGCGGCTTTGGGGCGGGTATCTGCTGCCGCTGTCCGTGTTCTCTCGGGCTACTTGAACAGCGATGGTGGAAATGAATAGCGCAGTCGCCGACCCTCGCTCCGCCTCTTATACACTTAGGTGAAATTCCTGGTTGGAGTACCTGGATTGCAGATTATTAGATGGGTACTTGCACGATGTGTCCCGTATACACCTGTTCCCGGATCAGCAACGTTCTGCTTGAGGGGTAGGTATAGTGCGAGCCTATCTTCATTACGCTTATATATCCAAGAAGACAGCATACTTGATACTTGAAAGTACGACTCTGCTGGTAGGAACGTCTCCGAGGACGGGGGAGAAATAATTCAATAAAAACCACACTCAACCGTGTATCGACAACGTTCTGGGCGGCCCGAGGGTACGAGAACGCCAACCCGCCAGAGCTGTTACAATGCAGAGTGGAGTAACAGACGCGACACGACATCGAGACTATAGAGCGGTAGAACACCTTTAGGGATCGAACCCTGTTCCGGGCGTCCGGCTCCCTTAATTAACCAGTTTCTGAAATTCATCTCCTTCCTACCTACTTGCCCCGATCTCGATGTTGTGGACGAGATCACGAACGTCTAGGCATACTGCTCACAACTGACGGCGTGAAAGGCTTTTGCAAGCTAATTATCTGGACCCTGATTCTGCTTCGGAACAGAAGGCGGAGGGAATTACTTCGGTTCACCGGTGGCTCTTGTGGAAGTTGGATTTGATCTCGACTCGAAATCTGCTGCGCAGACTGGAGTCGTGCAGTGTGACTTACTTGTGTCGTAGGTAGATATTCGTAATTACTTGCTCTATCACCTCGTCCCAGTCCTCGAACATCATATCGGCGTTTGGCCACCCTTGTCGATCAAACTCGAGGCGGATAAAAGGGTTGTTTCTTTCTTTCTTTGTTTTCTTTTCTTTTTCTTCAAGGCACGGTTACTCCAAACGGCCAATCCATACTAGGTACTCCGTAGAGACGGAATAGACACGGAAACGTGGTAGTATGCAGTGCTGCTCTCCGACGGTGCAGGTAATGTCCGGGAGCGGTTAGCGACCCAAGCTACGGAGACGGCGTACCATTAGCTCCTACTCCGTGTTCTGTACATAACCTCCGAGGCGTTAGATGACGTACGGGGGTACATAGGAAGTTGTGAGGGTCAGCGTAGCTGTAGCCAGACGTTGGAGGATAGAATCGCGTATTATAATGTAGGCTCATCCGTACATAGGCAGGTAAGGTAGGCACTGACAAAGTAAGGTGGCCGTCAATAGGACCGATAAACAAGTCGATACGGATGACAGCAGCGCGGGAGTACCTAGTCGAGTGGTGCTTCCGTATTAACAAACGAGGGTGGGGGTTGAAACTGCCTGTGAGACACGTAGTGTCCATGCAGGAGGAGCCTCGGCGTGCTAAACCAAATGCGTCAAAAAGAAGACGCTAGCAAGGGCCGTACATGCGTCGAGCGACCTGAAACAGCCTTCTGCCGTCTCCTGTTTCTCCCCTACTGGTACGTCCGGAGCGGCATCCAGGCCTTGAAGCTGAAGAATGCGTGCGAATACAGAGGGAAGGATTTCAAGTTCGAAGAAGTTGATGAACTTCAGCATGCCATTGCATACCTTAGTACATGGCAGTAACCGTAGATCTTCAAAGCACGAAGTAGCAGAACCGATGGAAGCACGTACGCTTCGCTTATACCTAAGGTTGGTTCACAAGAACCAAAGGCATAACACGCGGTTCAGCCAGAGGAAATATTTTTATCTCAACCCCTTGCTTTTGTTCTATAATATCCTCCTCCGGCTGGCAGGCTGCTGCTGCTACTGCCCGGGATTCTTGCCCACAGACAGTATCACCCGTGCGGAGGATAGCCCAATCCAAAGTAAAAAATAGCTCGTAGCGAGAACATACATACGAAGTTGATCACCCCATGTGGAAGTCTTGACATCTCAACGTTCCAAAGTGACGACCGAGCGAACGGGGTATTGCTAGCTGGCCTTAATAAGTATTCTGTCGTGGTCTGGTTTTTTCATAGGTTAACAGAGGAAAAAGACCCGATAATAAGGTCATAGACCTAGCGTCCATACCTATTCAGACGCGTCCTTGGCTATGCGATATTGCGATATGCAGCCGAAGTCAACGTGTCTTAGATGGGCGAAGGAATCGATCGAAAACCCACCAACGTATAGGACGCCACTGCGTACCCAATATGCAAGGTACGAAGACGCCATGCAGGAACAGAACCCAACGGCTCCTGAGCGCCCTAGGTACGTTGTATACGAATATTTATTGCATGGGTGATATTCTCGTCACCACTCTCGGTTCCACTGACTTTGTATTTTCATTTGTATGGCTCAACTCCTTGCGCTGGCCTCGATCCTGGGAAGGCCAAACACACCAAGTAAACCCAGCGGCGTGGTTACCTCCATGTTGAGCTTGCGAAGGTCGAAACGTCTCCTCTAACCCGATAACTATACCTACAACGTAGACATGAATATCTCGCATAGCTCCCGTCGAAATTTCGATCTGAGGTTCCATATTAATTATTACTTGCATGTTGTGAGAGTCGGGCAACCGGATGACGCCGACACAGCCAGCCTTACTTGGGACTGCCATTCAGAGCCTGTCATTCACCTTCACCAAACACTTGGTTGATACGAAGTAGTTCTCGCTTCCCTACCTGGTTTACCCGGTAAGCTTATGACGGAGCCAAAGGAGGTCTCGGACGTGAGTCCCAGCAGGCAGAGCCCTGACGGAAATGCCGATCACATAATTAATCGCCCGGTGGTCACGGACGGAAATGGCAACAGACTTGTTGATCGTGGTTGGCGGACGGAAAGCTGTCGTCTCGTCCAGGAAGTCCTCGAGTTTTGCGGGACGGCCAAGCCCAAACCAAGAAAAGGCAGGCGAGCGCAGGCTCAAATGGGAAGAGGACAAGGGGTGCGTATGAGATCGTCGTGAGGGTTCCCGCGTTGGACTATAGCGGTGATAGCCCGGTCGCAACCACTGCTGTGGTAATTACGTGTAGTACTACAACGTAATTAGGTACTTTGTATGTTGGCCCTGGAGTGAACAGGGCTTCTGCTGGTAGACTTTTGGATATTTGATAATGAGCCGGGTGCGAGCCGGCTAACTTCTCGCGTAGGTACTTCAGTGTCTATCCCGTAGTGGTACCCCTACCTTAGGTACCTTAAGGTACAGACACGTTACAACAAGTCTTATCTGCCTTTATACAAACTACCTTGGTATTAATAAAACCGTTAAGAAATAAGGCAAGGTAAATACAGAACAAATATCTAGAGCTTTCCAACCGCTATCCTAGTTCTACCACAAGATATATACTTCTATCGATCAGCGCGGCATATGATACTGGGGGTTGTTGGTTCCCACCTTCGTGCAATCCCCAACACACTGGTACTTATAGCCCCGCCATTTATTTACACGGTGGTTCCATCAGATGTACCTAGGTCCGGCTCAGACCCGTTCTCGACCTCCAGCCTACGTTAAGTCTCAATAATATAAGCTTTCCGTTCTTCTTCATTACACTTATCTAATACCTACATAATAATATTTTTCTTACCCCGTTAATAGCTCACATTAACCTTTTCTGTCCTTTCTATTATCGCCACACCGTTTCTTAAGCAGAGGTAATAATTTACGGAGTAGGGAGTACAAGCTTAGCAGGTTGCCCTACGGGCAACGCCGCTAAGCTCGCCCCCCCCCCCCCCCCCCCTAAGGGGGGGGGGCTTGTTATATAACCTGATCTATAATAACTAAATAACCGAAAATAATCGAGTATAACCGTAAAACGCCCGTCTTCTTTTATTTTACTGCTATTTACTATTTTCTACACTATAACGACGGTTTTTATTAGTTTTTTTATTATCCAGATAAAGTAGCTTTCTATTTTCAACTATTAAACTACACTATTTACGGAAATAAAGCCCTTAATTAATTAACCCTTATTATACCTTATAGCGCCGCTAAGTAATAGTTTTTTTCTATCTATTTCAATATTACTCCCTCTCTTCCGTTTTAAGTAGTTAGAGCCTCGCTATCACGTAAGTTACGGGTATAAATACACGCCTTAACCCTATAGAAAGCGACGATACTAACCGTAATTCGTAGTATACCGCCCGCCCTATCCGACTCCTTTATCAATTCGCAGGAATCCCGGTCTTTATCGCCCGATAACTTAACCGCCGCCTCCCGCCTTACCTCGCCCGCCGCCGCCTTTATCGCCGCCTTTATCGCTACCTCGCCCGCCGCCTCCGCCGCCGCCTCGCCCGCTCCCTCGCCCGCCTGTATACCTACCCGCCCGCCCGCCCGCCCGCCCGTATATAATACGCCGGCCTCCTCCTCTAGCACGCGCGTTTAGTAAACGATACCTATAAAGGACGGCTGCACGGTTAACCGTAGTAAGGTTCTTAACCTTATATATAATAGCGGCTATAAAGCTACTAGGGTCCTTAATACTATACGTGTTATTCGGGTAGGTTATTAACTTACCTACTATCTTATTATATACTAACCGATATGATTAATATAGGCTAAATAGGACCTCATATTACGGGAGGATAAAGACCTTAACCTTAGTCGCCCGGCTAATTAAGAGGCTATTATAATAATAATCATTAGCGACCTCTAGATAGACTATAAGCACTATAATAAAAAAGATAGCCCCTTCGCCCGTTACTATATATTCTCGGGAGTTATTAGCGGTAGCTATAATAACTACTATTTTAATTCGGAAGGCCGTAAATATTCGCACTGCTTCCCCTCCCCCCCGGCCGATAATAATACTACCGTTACCGCTACCGCCACCGCTACTCTCGCTTCTTCTAAAGAGAAAAAGCGTGTAAATACGACCGTAGGTAAGCTAATAATAACCGTAATAAATACTGACCTATACTGATTAATTAATCTATAATACTATAGGAACCGTAACGCCTTCTAAAAAAGTAAAGATTACTCCCGCTCCCGCGACCGGCCCCCCCCCTCCCCCCCCGACTATTATAACTACCGTCGGTTCTTCAGGAATAAATACGGCTACCGTCACGCCTGTCACGCCCGCCTAGCCCGCCCCTATCGCCCCTATCGCCCCTCCCGTAATAACCTTCGGTAAAACGTTAAGGTGCTAGCTATAATACTCCTTACCGGTATAACGATAGCGTAAAAGAAGCAGTTAATCTAATACTATAAGAATATAATCGCTGCCCTAGAGAATAGCCTCCCGGTGGAGGATTAAAGCGGGCTTTTTTTTCCGGCTTTATTATCTTATAAAGGGTTAACGGTTATTGCTTTTATATTTATAGTGCGGTGGTATTTTTTTTTTTTTTTTTTTTGCTTTATTATTTTATAAAGGGTTTATGGTTATTTTGCTTTTATGTTTACGGTGCGGCGGGAATAGGTAGTTTGCTTTATTACTTTATCTGCCCTTAGTATAGGCTATATAATAAAGAATCCCGACCGCGTTTTCGATTAGCTAGTTACTATTATAGACCACTACGCCCGTAAAAGTAACCGTTAAGAAGAATCCATTAAGACCTCTGGGTATACGATATTAGATATATACCGGCTAACCTACGACTAAGCCTGCCTACCGCCCTAACCGTTATTGACCTATAATAAAATAAATAGATTCCTAATATCCGTAACCCTTAATATCGTAACGTAAAACTAACCGTGAGTGAAGGCGTGCTGCCGAAAATCCACACCGACTATACTAAACGACTGGCCCTGCGGCTTATTAATCGTTATTATGAAATAGAGCCGTAGCGGGAATTAACGGCGGCGGATAATATACGGGTAGTCTTCCTTGTTAGAATCTAAGCAGATACGGGGGATAAACGTAACCTCGCCGGCGTGTAATCCTAATAGGACCTTTACCTCTAGCGTATTCCGCGCTATCCGTAAAATACCTATACGTATACTGTTATATAAACCCTACCACGGGCTTAGGTTCCGTATAAGTATAACGGGGGCGCCAACCTTTAGCTTAAGACGTGCTAGCAGGATAGAAGCGAATTATAACTATATTAAAAACTCCGGGGCTAGATCTGGCGTAAGGCCGTTAGTATCCTCTGCCCGATTAGCGACCGAATTTTCGGCCTAGTAAACGCGTGACTAGCTAGGTAGGCGCCCGAGTATCTAGCTATTAATCTCCGTGATAATAGTATTATAAGTTATTAGAATAACGCGGTTAATAAAGACTATATAGTCCGACAACGCCTAATCCAGTAAATTAGTCGGGGAAATACGTCTATAAAGACGGACGATATCGTAAAGAGTTATAATAGTAGGGAAGAGGTCGATAGACCCGTGAAGAGTAGTATTATAGGAGAGATCCCATAACTACTAAATAAACGTCTAATTATCAGGATCGGTAAAGGTAACCCGTATATTCTCTGTTAGGCTAAGGATACAGAGTTACGGCTAGATAGAGGACCGCTAGAAGCAGGTATATATAATCCACGCCCGACTACTATTCCGAATAACGGGCAGGATCTAAGTAAAATCGCCTCCGAAAATAACCGGAATACCGCTAAATAGATCGTTATAGCTTAGTATATCCCGTAATATATAATTAACGGCCTCGAAACAGAACTTATACTATATAAGGACCTTATCCTAAATAATAAGAGTAGTCTCCCGTAATAGCGTTATAAGGTCCGAATTCTTTAGCACGCTATAAATAGAGGAGTTATTAACCTATAAAGGGATCTTGAACCGCGAATAAGCCATATAGCTACCCTTAAGAAGAACCGCCGCGATACTAGAGGATGCTATATAGAGGATAATCTAGCCGCGTGACCGGAAATAGGCGTAGAGACTATAATATATAAAGGTCTTACCTATACTGCTAGGTCTCTATAAGAAGAAACGACCGTGGCGAGACTTAACCGTAGCTATAACCTGGCTAAAAACGGTAGCCTAGCCCTAGTTAAAGCGGCGGTGAATATCTTCGTATACTATAGCCTAGGTATCGCGGTCGTAAGTCTCCGTAACTAATAATATATTACCGGTCGCACGGCGCTAGTCGTGTAAAGGCTCCAGTAGCCCGAACTCTGTAATTATCCTGCTTACCTTAAGGAACCGCGAGTGTATAAGATAAAGACCGTAATCGATATACGGGCGTTCTAAATCGGTAGGATATCGGAAGCACTAGCGCTATAACGTATAAGGCAGGTTATCGTATATAGACTCCGTAAACCTCTCCTAGATCAATAATAGACTGCAAACGTCTCCGTGCATTAAAGCGACGATAAATAGCTCCCGTAATATACGCCCGGTCTTCTAAATAACGGCCTCCTTAAAATAGGCAACCTAGTAACGGTTATCGTGTAGAAGCCCGGCCGTAACATAGGTCTTTTAGTAGGTATCGTAGATTGTCCCCTCCACGGTACGAAGATCCGTAAAGGAAGTCGGCCCTCGAATAAAGACTAAGAGTAACCGTAAATAGTACGTCTCTCTAGCCGTTAGGGGTATATACCGTAGACGGCCGATCTGAAATCCACGCTGTCTCGGCTGCTAAGTAAACTGCTACGGTTTCTATATATAACGGCTAGGAAACTAGTAATAGAATAACTCGCGGCTATTAACGTTATCACGGTTATAGTCGAAAAAGCCTATTAGCTAAGTTTTCCGGTCCTATAATATCCGCTCGATCTAGCTTACGGTCGCGTTATCGCCGAAGTATATAGGCTATTATCCCTTAAGGTAAACCAGAAGACGTATAACGGGTAGGAACTCGCGATATACCGGGAACTCAAATAACTGAATAACGGCCTCCGCGGGACCGATATAACGGCTTTAGAGATAGATATTCACCTTGTCCTCGCCCTCTTCGCCCGATATTAGCGTAGTTATATGGTCGCTGCCCTTATAAACGTACTTATACACGTACTTAATCGCCTAAATAGATCCGTAAATATTAAAGCATAAGATACTGGATATAATAACTTACCTTAATAGATCCGTAAATCTTAACGTTAATATAGGCACCGTAACGGAGGCAGAGATACGGGCTATAAGGAATAATAAAACGGTTATTAAGGGGGACCTCTCCTATACGGCCCCTTTTTATAACGTGTAGGCTAGAGTTATAGCGTCTATACTTAGGATAACTATCCTCGCGTATAGCCGTTTCCGAGGAGTATAGCTTAGGGAATCGCTTAGAGTACTTTATACAGTTCCCGTTATTAGGCTACAGCTATATACACGATGTAGAGGGCTTATTATCACCGTAAGGACTATGCATTATATTCTTACTAATAATATTAAAAAGCCGGCTAGTAGGATCCGACTTATAGTCCGGTAGCTCCGTAGATATAACCTTATCGATAGTTACAGCATCCTTATATATCTCGGCCGTCCGCGGCGTAAGGCAAAGAAGAATATAACGATATAGAAGACCGCGCTTCTAGTATTCCACGGTCTATATAATACCCGTAAACTCACTAAATAGACTATCGCGTAGCTGCTATTCTAGGTCGCGGGACTTTAACTCGAATACACGGCCGACTAAATCGGGCCGGTTACTAGTAGTCTAACCTAGCTAAAGCTCCCGTATAATCTCTGGCTAGGTAGGATTAGCCGTAAAGGTAATAAAAAAGATCGGAGCGCTAAGAGCCTATATAATTACTATAGAATCCTAATAGCACTACAAGATAAACCGCTAGCCGCTAATATAATTTAAGGGTAAGACGATCCGTCGGCTAATATTACGGGTATCGCCGTCGGCCTTATACGCCTAATCCTGTATCCTGTTATATACGTTAGCCTGTATCTTATTCTAATAGCGCTAGATCTAATTAAGCTTCTTCTGATCGTAGGATACCTATAGATCCACTAAAAACTACTAAAAAAGACGGCCGTATATAAAAGGTATAAACCTTTACTAGTATTGCGGGTGTAGTATATACTGACAGAACTAACGGAACTTTACCTCGGTATTCTACCGTTAACGATTATAAATATCCCGTAACTATAACTGCTAGTGATATCTTGAACCGCTACGCGGATATATAAGCGGGTAAGATAGTGGTAGGTAAGCAGAATACTCGTAGTCGATCTGCGTAAGGCCGCCTACGCTACCATTAAACCGTCTCTCTACGAGGATAATATCACGGTAGTAGACTTCACCCCACTTATCCGGTATAATAGTCGTAACCTTATCCGTAACGGGCAGATTCTTACGCCGTATATTAGCACCCTACTTAATAACTAATTCTATCCTAGGGTTTAGTATAATACGGCACTATTTATAGAGGGAGTTAAAGCGTTCGCGGGCCGTTTTATATATTTACACGAAGGGGTTATACTCGTATAGGAAGTCCGAAATCTCCCCTAGCATATAACGGTTAAGCGTGGAGTTAAGGCTTTAGGTATTCGTAAGGCGGTGGTCGGTAATAGCCTATGGGTCGTAAAAGTATAGCTGGGTAAAGGCTAAAAGTCGCCCTATAGCACTTAACGGCCCCGTATAGTAGTAAAGGGTGCCGTGGATCTAGAAGGCTATTACGCCGCCGGCTTTAGTACCTCGACGGGTCTCTGTATATTATATAGACGTAAACGAAAAGGCATTATTATATTAACGGATTCTCTTACGATAATCTATAGCTTAAGCGGTATCCGCGTATAATAGACGTTAGAAGAAGCCGGGTAGCGGGGAAATAACGGGAATATTAACGTCGCCCTGGTTATAATAGATGCTAAATTTCGGGTTTGTAGGCGACGATTCCTAAGAAAGATAATAGCTGTTAGCTAACGGCTAAGAACGCAGGATAGAGAACTAATCTATAACTTCTCCCTAATCTAATAGAGCGTAGCGTAGTATTTATACTTTACCCGTATTAATCTAAGGTTATAGTAATCGACCGTAATACCTGGCTAATACTACCCTAGCGGGCTAGTACGCTTTACGCGATAGTTAGGTTAGGGGCGGGCCTTACGCTGGCTAGTAGTAATAGCCGCTCTGCGATAGTTACTATTACTATAATCGAGATAGGTATTATATAGGGCACCATTACGACGCATTATAAACGCGGCCGTTATAAGGTAGCGTTTATAGCATGTGTAGTACTAACCCTGGGTAGCCCTAATCTCCTGTCGTGTACGGCGGCGATGATAGCGGCTAACTATAGGAGGGTGGTATATTAGAACGGGTGGAAGAGGAGCCGTAAGGGGGGTAGGCGGAGGAGCTAGTAGAGGGTTAGCTATTAGAATAGGTGGAGGAGGAGCCGTAGAACCTATAGCTAATATATTACGGGCGGCTCGACGGCTATTTCGGTTAGCTACGTGTATTACTCGATATAGTATACAGGTAGCGTAAATACGACATGCCCGTGGATAATACCTAAAATCAGAAAACGGTTTAATAAGATGGTATATACGGTAAAGCCGCGGATCCGGATTAGGCTGGCTGACTATCTTAACGGCGCGATATAACTTTTAACGGCGTTAGAATAGCGTACGAAGACTATTACAGGTGCCGTAAAATAATAGGATATAGAAGGATAGTCTAAAGTTAAATATATAGGGAATTCGCACTAAGATCCCTTAATTAATTATAACGGAATCTGCTATAAAACCTATATAAAAGAAAAGTACTAATAGATTTACTATTATATAACTATATACTATAGAGGTATATCTCCCGAAAAACACTGCTAAAAAGCCGTAATAAAGCCGTAAAAGGGACCGGGCAGTAGTACTAGTACGAATAACGTAGGCTGCCAAGAGTTTTATCTGTAAATTAAAGCGGGCCAGCGTTAGTGTATTCTTAGACTTTGTACGGATATAGCGTAAGCTGCCCCACCTTTTAGAGGCTATTGAAACTTGCAGGGCACCGAAGAGGACGCACGGAAGGAGTCGCTCTTTTAACCTAGTGTACTCCGTAGCTTCTGGTTCAGCCGCGTATCCATTATATTGGCTCTCTTCACGCCAACCCCCCGTCTCTCCCCCACCCGCCTAGTCTATGGGTTGCATGCGACGCCGCTGCGGTGCCTGACAATAAAGAGTCCAGTAAGGGGCATGCCAGCTCACTGCGTCTGTGGCAGCCATACATACCTATACAGTACATATGCACGCACCCATTCGAGGCTACAGAAAGGGGAGAAGCACGCATATCCTATCGGTTCAAGAAGATAGCACGGCTATGTACACCACCACCTAGCGGTGTCGAGTCTCTGGCTTTCTCACACCGCCACAGCCGTTACCCTTCGACTTGGTCTTCATGCTGCATATGGAGTATCTTGCTCTATTACCAAGGCACTGAGACTTATTCTTCTCCCTTCAGAGCCGAGCGGGCAGAAGTACTTCGGAATTTGGGCGGGGCCTCCAGTACTCAATCTACGAATAGGTGCGGATATCCAAGACCTGATGCAAAAACCCACCCATTGCAGATTTCAGATTTCGGTTCCCGGGCTATTGCTTTGGGACGTGCCTCGATTCTCTTGATTCTCCTCCTTCGCCAGCTTTCTAAGGCATCGAGCAGCAAGCTAGTTACCGTCCACCTCTTTCTCTGTCTTTACTTGTTTATCTGCGTGTGCGTGCATCTTTACGACAACTGAGCTGCTGTCTTCATTGCTCTGGGGCTTTTGGGTTTGTTTACCCCACCAAAGGCCACTGACGCTCTGGTTGATATCTACCTCTCTTGCAGGTCTTGGGAAGGGGGGGGGAGATCTAAATTGCTTGGCCGAACGTGGGTTTGTACCCTTCCCTACTTTATCCGCACTCCGTACCTGCCGCCTACTTCCATCCATACCTATCTTTTCGCCGTTCTCATTATTCCTCCTTGCCCTATTTCGCGTCGCTCTTCCCTAACTTACTTGGGAAAAACTGATAGCCAGACGCGAAAGAGCCTAAACCCAGCTGAGAGAGCTCACCCAGATCGGATAGTTGCCTTGCTTGCTACCTCGCTCTGAAACCCCTCTATCCGGCTCAAACGGTCGATCCAATTAACCCCTGTCGGCAGCACGCTGGTCCCCGATACACTGACGGCCTACCCAACCCCGACCGACGACCGACCCCTGAACCCATACGCCACCCATACGAGATCCGAGATCCCTTCTAAAATCGCGACCAAAACTCCCAAACCTGGTCTGTCCTGTTCGATCTCCAGAGGAAAATCTCCGATACACCAACTTCAACCTTTGCCGCTGCTGGTCTGCTGGTCTGGCCCCAGGTGTCATGTCATGGACGACTCATCTACCACGCCCCTTGCCGACTACTTTTGGATCGCGGGCGTAGAAACCATCTCCTACGATGACTTCCCACCGCCCAACTCCGACCTTGAGGCTACTATTGCGGAAGATGGAGAGAGCGAAGGGTCTGCGTTCGGCCTGAACGGCACGAGTGGCACGAGTGGCACAAACAGCACAAACGGCACAAATGGCACCGCGAAGCACTCAGCTCGCCATTCACGACAAAATTCCGCCAACATGTTTTCCAGCAGCCGATTCTCCACCCAAACCCTCGAGGAGACCGACGGGAACACCATGAGCAACCGGAGCAGTGTCACCATTCGCCCTTCGCAAGCGTCCAATAATAATAATAACAATAACAGCAGCAACACCGTCGACGGTGCGAACATGAACACGAACTCCGGCTCGGGAACCGACAAAGCTCTTGGCGGCCCTCTCGACGGCTTCGACTTCGACAGTGCTCTGTTCAAGTTTGCCGCAGAACGTGAACATTTCCTCGAAGACTTGACCTTCAGCGCTGGTGCGAAAGTGCAGTCCAGACCGCCCATGGTCAACCCGAGGACCGAACGGATCAAGGCTGAAGAGAGCGAACCAAGCGGCCGCATGAGTCCCCTGCGCAACCTGGAGAGGAGTATCAAGGGCAGCATCCGTCGCAAGATCAGCTTCAGGGACATGAACAGCATGAGGAGACAGCCCGCAACGGGCCGGTCAAGCACCCCCGGGGGAGGTAGGTTCAGCCCCCCAATCGTTCGCGTGACCGTTCTGATTCTGCTTCTGATCGCCTGTTTGTTCTAACGCTCTGTCATGTCCAGGCTCTATACGCACGTCGAAACGGTTGAGCAACTACAACTCCGTCATTCCTCCTCCCGAGCCCCTCAACACCGATCCCGACATGCACCCTCTGAAGCGACGCTTCGAGCCCGTCCTACTGGACAGATACCCGACCCGTGACGCGTCAGACGAGGTGTCACGACGGGGCAGATTCCCAGACTACGTACCAATGTTCGCGTTCCCCAACGACATCCAGATCGTGTCCTCCGACGAAAGGCCTCGTTCGACCTGGCACGGCTTCACGATGACGTCCGACGACAACTCTAAAATATATGGCATCACCGTCATCGTCTGGAACGCCCTTGCTTCTGACGTGGCAGATGAGGTGGAGAAGAGGTGCGAGCAGTGGCGGCAGCGGCACATGTCCAACGAGGAACGCGAGCTGGCCGCCAGCTTGGGAGTCAGGCTGGCTGCAGAGCGAGCTCATCTCTCTCAACTGCTGGCAAAGCTGCCTACAGCGCCATCGGGATCCCAGGCTCGGGACAGGCTGGACGACCAGATCAGCACCGTCGAAGAGAAGATCAGCCTCATGACCGAGATGCTACGACCGCTACGGCACGGTGCAGCCTCCAAGATCGACGGTCTGACGGCGGGGGAGACGGGCCTTTGGATACCCAGAGCGTACGGCATTCTCGGCCGCGATCCCACCCGCATGACCTTCTGGAAGGAATGGTTAAGAGCGGTCATTGTTCCCATGACTGACGGCGGAGTCCTGCGCATCCCGCCCAGCTCTCCCAAGGTGGGACGCTGGCAACCCCTCGAGCGCTATGTCGTCAATCTCTGTACCGAAGCATTCAGCCCGCTGGGATCTAAGACACAGGTCGAAATCGGGGTCAGGGAACTACGACTTTACGCCAGAAAAGAAGCAGCCAACGAGATACCCGGCACACGAACGATCGATCTGTACGCGCTATTTCGGTGTCTGTCGCTCGACAACATGATGACACTCTTCGAGGCGGCCTTGGCGGAATCCCGCATCATCTTCCTGTCGTCGCACACCGGCATGCTGCATTTAGCATGCCATGCCCTAGTCACTCTCTTGTACCCACTCAAGTGGGCAAGTATTTTCATACCCGTTCTCCCAGCACGGCTGCTATCCGCCCTCGAGGCACCATGCCCGTACATTATCGGCATTGAGCGCCGGTACGAACGGATTGAACTTCCCGACGACGATTACGTCCTAGTCGATCTAGACAAGGACACGATTGACGCGGTAAGCTCGCCCATGCGGCTACCACGACAACTCCGTCGGAAACTTCATACCCTTTTACAAATAGCTGCCCCCCATAAGCTACGGTATGGCGTGGCGACCGGGCCCCCTCCATATGCGATTGAGTCGTTCCCGTACGACGCGTTCTCTGCAGAGAACGCCTCGATACACGTCCCCAATGTTTCCTCCAGCACTCTTGCGAAGTGGGTAACGCAGAGTTCTTCCACCTTTGGCGAACCGACGCCGCCCTCCGAGACCCGCCCCCCCGTTTTCAATGCGTTCATGCACTCCAAGGTCGATCCCAATAAGCCGGACCGTCCGGGTACCAGTAAGTCGACCAAGACGAGCCCGCCATCGTCCGTGTCCCCGGTCTCCATGCACTTCCCACCAATGCCGTCCACGCCGGTATCTCGTAGCGATTCGGGATTCGCGTTGAGCACCACTCTGCGCGAAAAGAGGTCAGGTTACTTTAACGAGAACGGACGACGCAGCTCCTCTTTCGGCCTGGAGAGACACGGCCCGATTCATCGGCCTAGTTTGCCATTCTTGAATGGCCATGCAGCCAACATGTCCATCTCCGCCATTTCCGTCGACTCTCAATCCTCTTTCGGTGCCGGCGTCGGCACTGGCGCTGGCGCTGGCGGCGTGTCTTACGCACCGTCCATGTACGCACAGTCAACGCTTGCAGCCTCCACCATCATGCCCAACATGCTCATACAGCCTGTTCATAACACCGACACTACCATCTGGGTAGAGGGACATTGCTTCAACTGGCTGGCAAACGACGCCTCCTCGTTCTGTACCATCTGCGACGAGCGGTCCGAGGGCGATGGCATCTACAAGTGTACTGGCTGCGGCACTCTCAGCCATGGTAGATGTTTGGGATGCGTCTCCCTGGTCTGTCCGCAAGCATTCCATGAGGACAGAGTGAGGTCTGCATTTGTGCGGTGTATGGCAAGCTTGCTTTATACGTACAGAAAGTATCTTGGCCGCCCGTCCAAGGAACAGAAGAATAATGGTCGCATCTATTCCTTCGACATGGCCGCATTTATCAAGAGTCTCCCATATGATCAACAAGAATATGCCGCTATGTTGCGGGAGACGCAAGGTGAGCTTTTGTCTAAAACTTTTAAGCTGGTAGCCCGGCCACCCTGCTAACCCCTCGGCGCAGCATTCAACGAATTCATCCATGAGCGCGAGACCAAACCGGGGTCACATCCGTCGGTTCGGCTATTTGACGAAATACTCATGGCGAAGAGAGCACGCGGGCGACCGGGGATAACATCCGGGCTGTCCCGTCTTTCCACAATCCGGTCGTCCCATGGTGCCCCGAGCAGCGCATCTGGCTTCGCGCCGCCCTCGCGGGGCAGGGTTCCGTCGTATCTCAGTGATACGTCGGATCACCTTTGGCGGACAGCTTCGGTGCCAGTCCCCAGCGCCAAATTCACCGGCGACTACCGAAGCATTGTCACGAGGATACCGTCTAAGCTCGACACCACTTTCATCCGAGAGCCGCGGATTGTTCAAGGCGTCCCTCGTCCGGAGCAACGCGGCACCCGTGGCCTAGTTCGGAAACAGGTTCCCAGCATGATCGGCACGTCGCCTACCGAATAGGAGCATGGAACGTTGTAAAAGGCGTTGCGAACCAAATTATAGGTGGCGGTGAAGAGGGACCAACCTCTACGGAGACCATTGGTTCTTTTCGTTGACATGTAATGTAGAAGTGTAAAAGAAAGCGAAAGCAAAAGCAAAAGTGAGAGAGAGAGAGAGAGAGAGAGAGGAATAGAGAGAAAAGCTCAAGGTAGGCGGCAAATGTGTACGTTATTCGCATACTGGAGGGTCGTTTTGAGGATTTCCTTTTTGTTTTTACTTCTTCTTTTTTTTAGTTCCTATGGGGACTGGGATACACTCGTCAAAAGAACATTGTTGGAAATCTGTTGGGAATTCTTGTCTGTACGAACGGGCTTCTTCGTCATACGAGAGGCAGGGGCGGCACATGGGACATATCATGGAAACAGACGAAGCAATTGGAATGGGGTGGGCAACTGTGGACATGTTGCAACTCTGCAACTTGAGTCTTTCTGAACATTTCATTAATCCGTCTTCGACTTCAACTCCAGCGCTGGGGAAATCCACCCGGTTTGCCTCTTTTTCACCTGTCTGAGGAAAGGGGGCAGGGGCCCTTCAAGATTACCTGACTTCGGCCAAATGCCCACCGATGGAGCGGACCTGGCTGGTTTATGAGGCAATGAATGCAATGCGGTCAAGATGTCATGATGTGTGTTGTTGAGTCCCAATTTAGTCTTGGGGTGCTGGTATAATTACCTCGGACGCGCCTATTCCAAGGACGCCTGCCCTGCCGTGATGACCACCGGCCTAATCACGAAAGCGTCTAACATGATGTTGTCGTGCGTGTGTATGTTTGGGACATCTTCCTATCTTCTTTGCTCCCGGTCCCTGCTCATCCAGCGACAAGACAAGCCCGCTTGCCCCGCCATCCACAGGGGCGCCCTCCCCAATAGTTTAGCAGAATAGATGGTAAAAGCATGAAAACGACGCCTTTCAAACAAGCCACCATGCAGTAAGCACGCCGTTCATCGTTCATCATTCTCATTTGTGACAGGATATTCTTCAAGCAAACTCGTCTTCGGGCTCCTCGATGGTGTTCTTGACCCGGAGCAAGAGGGTCGTCTTCCACTTGTCGAGCTTGGAGATCTGGTCGTATTGGAATAGCTTGTCGGTGAACTCCTCCTGGTCGGCCTTTTCGACGGCGGCGAGGAGGTCGTTGAGGAGCATGCACTCGCGCTGGCCCGCAAACGAAGGGTCGAGGTCGGTGTACTTGTCCAGGGCGCGGCGGGTGGCGACTGCGTCGCCCGTGGCGAGGTGGCAGATGCCCGCCTTGAGGAAGTAGTCCTTCACCGAGTATTTCATCAAGTTGTTGTTGACAGATGCTGCGGCCACGCGCTCGAACGCCTCGATGGCCTTGTAGTAGTCCCCGTCTAGGCCGGCCGTGTCGGCGACTTTCAAGTGGAGCTTATTGGCTAGGCTGGTGTGGGTGACGGGGGGTCAGTCCGATAGCTTTGCTAACGAGAAGGAGAGGGGCAGCATCTCGGGTAAGGGAGGGGGGAAGGCCAAGACGTACGCAGTAGCATTGTCACCCTCGTACCACACCGCAGCGGCTTCGTAGCACTCGATGGCCTTCTTCGAGTCTCCTAGTTCGGACTCGTACAGTTCGCCCAGGGACTCCTTGTGACCGGCTGCGCGGCGGAAGTTTCCCCTGGTGCAGTACTGGTTAATGGCAACCTCGAGACATCGGACAGCAGCCTGAGGATCGGCCTGGCGGTAGGCCTTGAAGGCGTCCACGAGGGTGTTGGCGGCATCGTCGGGTTCTTTCAGGTTGTTGGTCTGAATATTCGCGGCTTTTTCGAAAGCTTGACCGGCTTCGAGGTCTGTATGCCAAAAGGTAATGCAGAATTCATCAGTCTCGGAAAGATTCAACAGCACTAGAAGACCGGCCCATGGTACGCACTCTGCTTCTGCATCTTGAAGGCGTTGGCGGCCTGCATGTATAAATCCGCCGCATCTTGGTACTTCTCTTCCCTGCCGCCAAAAAAGCTAAAGCCACCCCCTGCGCTGGACAGCTGCTTGTCGGCCTGGAGCGCATGCTGGTCAGCTTTCGATACCAGGAGCTAAAGTATGTGTTTCCGCGCGTCTGACGATTTATCGCTGACAAGAGCAATCGTGGGGCAGCGCGGGGTAGCACTGATCAAGGACAAGGACTGGGGTAGGACCTTTTGTAGAAGGGCTCGCGGATCTTGCGCCATCGTGGAGGTTCGTATATCCGAGGATACTAACGAATAGTTGCTGGGCGTCCTTATGTGAAAAAGGCAGTGTTAATAGGAATGTCGCGGAGGTGTTGTTTAGGTGAAGAATAGCGTAGGAAACGTCGGAGATGTCCAGATAGGGCCGTGTCGCAAGTCCTCCTAAAGGAGCTGTACCTAGGTAATTACTTATACGAAGCGAAGGTACTACGGCAAGCGGCAGGACGGTCTGTTTTAACTTCTAAAAATAGTAATAATCGATTAATAGGTTCACCCGGGCCGTAGAAGTCTTCTACCTAGTAGTACGATGTATATATAGGCGTGTGCAGATATAATTAAGTAGGGTAATAGAGTATACATATAAAAACCCTATTTATATAGCCCTATATATCTATATAACTATCGCGGGGCCTATTTAGAGGAGGTATCGATATCTATATAGCCCTGTATATATCCGTATAACTATCGCAGGGCCTATACAGAAAAGATATCTACGCTAACGGTTATATAATAGTCTGTATAATAATGCCTATGACTATAATTATTTACCCTAATATTAAGGTCTATTATACTATTCTTTTCGATACTAATCCCGATTAGTTAGTATACGCTAAATACGGTATAGCCCGGTTCGAAACTATACTCGTTAAGAACGAATTAACACCTCCTATTACCGATAATAATAAGGTTATTAACTTAACCATAAATACTCCTCCCCGCTTAAAGCGCGAAGATATGGAACCGAAGGCGCTTTATATACCCGGCGCTATCGCGTAGGCGTAGGTATAGGGCAGAGTGCTTCTAACTACGTTTCGAACCGGCGAGGCGTAACGTAGGGCTAATATCTAATTAATATGGAAAGAAAAGTAGCTATAGGCTACGAAGGAGATTAGTATTAGCCTATATAGCGGCGAGTACTACGTTTAAGATATTAGCGGCGTGGATATCTTAAAGCTTATAAAGATTAGAGGATAAAAAATTACCGGCCGTATTTCGATTATACTAGACTAGACCTTTCCAAACTACTAAGACTTTATACGCTACCTTATAAGCTAGTTTATATCCGATAAATACTAGTTTAATTAGGACCTTACGGTCTTTTTATACGATTAGAAGAACCCGAAAACCGTTATCTTCTTCCGTAATAAGGCGTATAACACTATAACGCTCTGTGCGTTTCTGCGCGAATCTAGTCTTAGTCTTATAAAGGAATATTATCTTACCTTCCTCCGAAAGATTAAGGTACCCGCCCTAGTAGAGCTAACCTCGGGTAAACGGAACGAGCTAATCGCTATAAAGAAGGAAATCGGAAAGGGGACCCGTGCGAAAAAGTAGACCGGAAAGGGGAGACGGAAATAAGCCGTAAAGGTAACGGTTAATACCGAGCCGTAGGTTATTAAGACCGAGCTATAGGTAAAGACCGAGATAGCACCGAATACCTACGCGTAGGCTTATATAGAAGAGGAGGATTATAGTATAGAGGAATACTGTATAGAGGAACACGGCACGGAGGAACACGGTATAGGGGAATACGGTATAGAGGAATAGGAGGAGGCGCGTAAAAGTAAGGTACTACTATTAATAATAGATCTTCGCGGCCGGAAGCGTATATTTTTAATAACTTCTGATATAAAGCCTTAGATTAGAATTAATTACTACCCTCGTTTTCTATATCCAAAAAGGCTAGATTAGTCTTATTAGTTTCTATTATAGCATATTCTATATTTAAGCCCTCCTTTTCGAGTAGGTCCTTTATAGCCGCGATATTATTATAAGGCGCGGGTAGTAATAAAAGCTAGGGGTTAGTCTTCGCGGCTATATACGTATTTAGATTATTATGTATATAACTATATAGAGGAAGTGTAGGATACTCTTTACCGTTTATAGTTAGTATCTTTTAGAGGCTGCCCGCGGTAGACTTAAGCCTTAAGTATACTGCTATAATATCCGTAGGCAGATATATATTAAGCTATTAAAGATTTTCTGTAAAAGCGTTTTCTAGTATACGAAGCCGTATAGGATCCGGCTATACCCGGAAGTTCTATTTAGCCTAGTAGTAAAGCACCTAAGGCTTACTAGTAATAATATACGGCCGAGAACGCTATACGCGGATACGGTGGCTATTATAGACCCGTATAAATCGTGTAAAGTCGGTACGTATAAGTAGTATATACACGTAAAGTAGCGTAATACGGTCAGTAATTAAACGGTTATTAAAAAGACCGTTTTCGGAGAGGTAAATAAAATACTCCTAAATATATATTAGTAAAGGAATTATAAAGGATAAGCTTAACGTACTTACCCTTTAATATACCGAATAGGATTAGTAGAGTCTATTCTACTATACCTCGATGCGTTAATTACAGATACTCTTCCTAAATATCTAGTAGTCTTTAAACTTAATCGGAATATCCTCGCCGGCTATATTCTTTTTTATACGCGACTATACAGATATATACTAGTATATGCCGGCTAAAAAAGTATTATCTCTTTACCCCGATCTAACCGAATAAACCGCGGGAGAAATCTAGTCTAACGTATAACTTAGATATACTACATAAGGATATTCCTCGTAGTATACGCCGATACTCTAATATAGAACTAAGTTATAAATCGGGCGTAGGCGTTAATACCGGCGTAGATCTCGAAGTCGAAGGGAAATAGCTTATCGTACGTATTAATAGACTAAATACAATTCGGCCCTGGTATTATCTAGCCCTTTCTACGGTATCGTATTTCCTTTATACGTGCCGTGACCTCTTCCGGGAATAGTTCTAAGAAGGTACGGTAAAGAGTATCGCGGCTAATAATAAAGCCCTTCTACCGTATAAATATATAGAGCTATATAGCACTAAGCCCCCGTGTAAAGGATACGTTAGGATTATTCCCCTCGAAGAACTCTTTAGCTTTTACTTTTACCTCCTCGATCCGTAGCGTATCCTACCGTCGCTATAACTTATTACTTCTTCGAATACCTTTAAGTCCGAATTTCGATATCTAAAAGCCCTCGGTCTATAGCTATTATAGTAGTTCGGTATCGTTAAGGTTATCGGAAAAAAGCTTATATACGCGTCGAATAAGATCCGTTAATATTACGGTGCGTGTTTAGCGCGAGAGGCCCTAGGCCTTATACTAACGCTATAGCGAGGTACAGCTAACTACTATACTCGTTTACTATCGTATATAGTCGTAAATAGACTTATTAGTGTATCCCTCTTCGTACTGGCGGTAGATCTCCTCGCGAAGAGGTTTAAGGTCGTGTCGTTTACCTCGTATATCGGTGGTATTATATATAGGCCGGTATAGAGTAGTAAGAGTTTATATAATAGCTATCGTCGGTAAGAAAACTTTTTAGAGACTTTATTCTATTATATAAGCAGGGAAATATAATAAGTATAATAATATTTTATTTAAAATAAACTAATATTACTTATATATCTTAAATATAATCTAATTATAGTATATATCTATATATATAGTTAAAATATAAAAGTAATAGAGAAAAGATAATATAAGTATATTTCTTTTATATATATTAATCTATTTTCTTTATTATTTTACTTATATAAAGTAATATATAAAGGGTATAATATAGCTATATATATAAAATAATATACTATACTTACTATTATAAAGTATTATAATATATATATATATATATATATATTAGTTTATAATATTGTAGAACTAAGTTTATACATAAAATACTAAATATAAAGATATAAGTATAGTATATTTATAGCCTATAGTTAGTACTTAGTAGTAATAATAGTAATATATATAGTATAAAATAGGATATAGTATAAAACTTAGGGTAGATTTAGTGATACTTAAAAGTTATGAATATAAGTATTAAATCTAGTATATAAATAGCCTTAGAAGTTATAAAGGGAGTTATATAAGGACTTTACTTTATAGGTTCTAGAATAAATAGCTTTTATAGGGGGCTTTAGGCTATAAATATATTTAAGCCCTATTAGTCTAAGGTATTATTTAAACTAATTCTCCTATAATATCTATTATAACTAGTATTATAAGTAGCCTTATTAGTATAGTATATCTTAGATATCAGGTTAATAAAGTTAGTTAGAATTATAAGATTTATACTAGATATAGTTACTTAGTTTATTTAGAGAGTCGTTTATTCGAAAAAAGATAATATATAGAAATATAAAAGGCTTAATTATATAGTGTATTATACCTATAATATAAGAAAATAAAGATAATAAAAAAATAGTAAGTAATTAAAAAGACTATAAAGAGTAAAATTTAATACGAGTATAAAAGATAACTTTGTACTTATTACTTATATAGGTATCTATACTATATACGTATTTTATAGCCAGCTATTAGATCCTACTATTACTATTTATATACTTCAAAGAATTATATAATAATATATATTATTATATCTATTTATTTCCTTATTTATCTCCTTAAATCTTTCTATATATCTCTTCTTATACTTATTTATAACTAGTTTTACACTTCTTTAGTTCTTATTATAGAACTTTGTATATAAATAATAAATAAAGGATAGATAAGATTTCAGATTTTTAAATTTATATTATTATTATTATTATCGATCTTACTCCGCTATCCTAACTAATCTATAGGAGCCTTTCTAGGCTATACGGTCCTTCTCGGGTGGCTATAGGGGGGAAACCCCGGGTAAAACCCGGGGAAAACCCCTATACACTTCCTTAGGTGGAGTAGTGCCGCTACGGGGCCGATATGGCCCCGGTTCGTCTCTACTATATATCTAGATCACACCTTTAGGCTAATAGCTAACGGGAAGTATAGCAGGCTAATAGTTAGGTAAGTTAGCCTAAGCTAATCGTTAATAGCAGAGTAAGGACTAAGGGGGTACCGCCGCGCCTCCGCGGTGCGGAGGCTATAGCCCTTTAGCCTCGGCCTCCCTATATCCCCGGAGATTATACCTTTTATTCCTTCTACTCGGTTAATAAAAAGAGTAGGGGAGGTAAGCGCCTCCTGCCTCCCCT